CAGCCTCCTGAGTACTGGGATTATAGGCATGTGCCACCAAACCCAGCTTACACCGACTTTCAAAAGATTATGTTACTCTAAGACAGTATATTTCCTCATAGGCTCACCAACACTATTACTTTTTAAGTATTTTTGTCAAAGCTGAGAAAAATTGTATCACATGGTTATTTTTAACTAGAATTTATTTTTGTGAGATTATGCAAATTTCCATATGGTTACTGACTATATTTATTTTTTAATGAATAATGTGGATTTCCCCCCATTTAAAATAAAAACTAGCTGGATATGGTGGTGTACGTTTATAATCTCAGCACTTGGGAGGCTGAGGCAAGAGGACTGCTGAGAATTTGAGGCCAGCCTCAGCTACATAGTTCAAGGTTAGCCTGAACTACATAGCCAGACCTTGTCTCAAAAAACAAAAATTTAAAAAAATATTGGTTTTTCAGCTCAGTGTGGTGGGGTATGCCTATATTCCCAGCACTTGGGAGCCTGAGGCAGGATTGCTGCAAGTTTGAACCAGCCTGAACTACATAATGAATTTAAAGTCAGCTTAAATTATGTTGTAAGACCCTGTCTCAAAACACACACACACACACACACACACACACACACACACACACACACACAATGCAAAAGGTTTGTTTTTCTTATTTGGGAACTCTTTCAGTTTTAAAAAATTAACTCTTCCTTATAAATTAACCACTTACCAATTCAGTTATTTAAATACAAGATGATCACACTTGCATATTTTTTCCATTAATTTTTGTAAGATAATATAATAGGAAATATAAATTTTATCAAATTTATTCAATACAAGAATTAACTGGTTGAAATGACACCTTTCTGAGCAACACTGGGGGTAGTCAGTATGTAAGCAAATGAGGTCCCTGAATAATGCTTGCTGTAAACTGTTAAGCAGTCAATAATGTTTTTCCCAGGCTTTTTTTCCCCCTTTCACCACACACTAGTTTAAACATGTTATATAGTCAAATTAGCTAATTTTCCCCCAAAATGTCACCATATTACACTGTCAGGGGAAGTAGTGACAAGTGTAGCTGGAGGATGGCAGTCAAAAAAAAATGAGGAAGTTTCCTAAAAAGAAGATACAGCAAGTAAAAAGGGTAGATTCGTTCTACTAGGATAAATACGAATGCTCAAGTCTTCCTAACAGCATGCTTTGGATGAGTGAAATATACAGGCAAGTAGGGCAGGGAAAGATCAATTACCTCTGTAAAGCTCTGCCAAGCCCCTGGTGGTACAGACAGGCTGGGCCTTCTGCCCAACCCCTGGCTGCCATTCTTCTGTGGTAGGGTCAGTATGGGGGAAAGACTCCCCAAGGATTATAAAAGTAAGGAAAAGCCACAGTTGGGCAGATGTGTCAGAAAGGTCTACTTCTGGATTGCTGCCTAGCGCACATGAAACCCTTGTAGGACAGGCTTTGATAAATGCTTGGTACAAGGTTATGCACTACTTTGCCAGCCTTCCATCAACCTGCACCAACTGCAAACCCAATTACGACATTTCCAAGTGCAAAAATAGCACGCTAGCTTGTGTTCTCACATTCATACAGAAGGATCAAAAATAGCACACATAAAACCTTAGGGCTACTTGTCCCACTGGCCTGCTAGTAAACTACATACCTGGGCTCTCTCCAGGAGCTCCTGAGGATAGGGTTCCAGGTACTGTTTCCACAATGATCTCCATGTTTCCTGGGCCTTCTTCAGTAGCTGTGGCCTCTACCAGCAGGCAGCTTGGCTCAGTGTCCCCGGAAGGACAGGTACTTGGGATGGGCCCCAGGATTCCACGGTTAGAAAGAGCTGGGGGGATCAGCAATAGCTCAGGGCACAGACCATCCATCTCCCCAGTGGTGTTGACTGGCTGTGAGTCCAATACAGTGTCTGCCATCACCACTGACCTGTGTGCTGTGGCCTCTTAGCTGCTGACAAGCCAAGCAGAAATAAAACCAAAATATGGTTAGTACACAGCACCTACCTACTGAGACATTTCCTTGCATGGCAGAATGTTCAGAACAAAGAAATAAATGAGAATAATTTTAAAAAGGGTTAACATTAGGAGAGAACCAACAGTTTTAGGCCAACATATTAAAGATATAGTTTATTTCTTGCTACTAAATGGCCTTGGTCAAATCATTAAATAAGCTGAGTCTCAATTTTTTTTCTTTTCTTTCTTTTTTTTTTGTTTTTTGTTTTTTGAGACAGTGTAGTTCACTATGTAGTTCAGGCTGGCCTTGAACTCACTAAGTAGCCCAGGCTATCCTTGTTCAAACTCATGGCAATTCTCCTGCCTCAGCTTTTCAATGTTCTTTTGTTTTGTTTTGTTTTGTTTTGGTTTTTCTCTGGTACCGGGAACCGAACTCACGACCTTGCGCTTGCCAGGCAGGTGCTTTGCCGCTGAGCTAAATCCCCAGCCCCAGCTTTTCAATGTTCTTATCTGCAACAAAATTTGGTGGGGTCAACGGATCTCAAAGGTCCCTTTACTACTTGGTGATCTCCCTACTCCTCAGTATTGGTATAAGATTATTCCATTGCTACCTGACTTCCACTGAGGTTTCCAGACATGTACTCATCTCTCCCTTCACCAGATCTCAGAACCAAATGATTTGCCATGCCCCAAACCCACCATCCCCCTTTAGTTGCACACCCTTGCTCTCTTTTGCCTCTTGCGGGTTAAGGTGCCTTTTCCCCTTCTCACCCTCTCTCATCTGGCAACCAACCCCTAACTATAAGAAGCTGCACAAATATCCTTTCCACTCTGAAGGCTTCCTAACACTCAACTTTCTCTTTTCCAGGGTCCTGGTGGCACTCTGTACCACAGTCTCAGCCTCAGTGTGTCACGCTGCACTACTGTTTACCTATTAGTCTCCCTCCTAGATGTGGAGCTTTTTGAGTACTTTATTTGACATTATCACTTCCATGAACACAAAGGAATTCTAGTGTTAAGTAGTAAACACAGGGCTGCATCAGGGTAATGCTAGGTACCTGGTACCAGAGTACAAAGTACAACCAATTTATATGTGGACAAGGACATTCTTTAGTTACTCTTGTGTATTACCTCAGGCCTGACCAAGCCTTGATTGCTGGGTTCTGGAGGAAGTCTAGCAAAAGTATTGAAAACCCTGGGGTCAACACTAATTGCTTTGCTCAGATATCCCCTAAGGAATGATAACGTGATGGCTAATTAGTCGTCTTGTTTATTGTCCTTGCTAAATTCGTTGAGATCCTCCCATTTGCACGGCTGCTTCTTTTGTTCTTTCTGAATAAAGAGTCACTGAAACTGGTATTTGGCACGGCAGTCCGAGAGGCTGCAAGCCCCCTAATACCAGAATTTTGGCTCTCTTGGTTTTCTTTTTTTCTTACTTTTATATTCATCTGCGGGTACCTCATGCTCAGGACCTGACACCGTGAAGAGAACAACATATATGTAGCTCCTCACACATAAATTGTCACATCTGGAGAAATCTGTCATTAACTAAAGCCTGAAACTGCAACATAAGTGAGAAACGAATGGCAATTAAGCTGCATGTCCAGCTATACCTGGTTAAAATGTGATTAAGGTGAATAATTTTTGCAATTAATAATTTGAATGACAATAATCACTTCTTGAAACTGAATCACAGAGAGTGCAGGTGGGAACTGATATTTCCTATTCTCCAGAATCTTTCTACTCAAAACAGCACATCAGTCGAGTGTCTTGATGGTGCATGTCAGTAATCCTAGTATTCACGAGGCTGAGGCAGGAGGACAGACATAAACTTGAAGCCAGCCTGGGCTACATGATTAGTTCAAGGCCAGCCTGAACTACATAGCATGACCCTGTCTCAAAAAAACCAAACCAAACCAACAAAAATAAAAAACCAAAACCAACCAACAAAAAACAGCAGACTGTGGGATTCAGGAAGCAAGGAAGTGTACTTCCATGGCCAGAGGGAGTCTGGAACCCGCAGCCTCCACTTACTGCCTGTTATCGCTGCTCTGGGGAATGTTCCAGCTCCGAGGTGGCTTGAGAGCCAAGGGGGATGTAGCGCCGTGTAGACTGAGAACCTTCACCTGCGAGAAAGCGAGTGAGGTAGCAGCAAGGGGCATAAGAAGAAATGAGCCTACCTTTGAGGCAGGGGCAATAAGGAAGGGGAAAGATAAAGTAAGGGAGAGGGAAGGCCTGGGAAACAACGACCTCCGGCTCCCGGGTTCCCACCTGCCTGAGCTCTGACTCACCGCGTGGCCTCGGACAGATGCAATCGCCACGCTTCTCTGGGCCTCAGCTTTCCTATCTGTAAAGTGGAGGCGATGACAGCGTCTACGTTGTCAGGCTGGATCACGAGAGCCAGCGAAAGGGAAAGGCATGCAGGCCTTGGGCGGGGGGCGCGTCGTCTTGATGACGGTCCTGAGGAGAGGCAGCAGGGGCCCGGGCGGGGTCCAGCGCGGTGTCGCTAAGGCACAGGCGGCTGCTGACGGGCGCAGGGGCACGCTCGGAGGCGCGCTCCCTGCAGCGCTTCCTCCCACTGGTTCCCGCCGCCCAGGCCCACCCTCATCCTGGGGCTCGAGTAACTTTTGCCTCCAGCTCGCTCCACCCCACTTCCTCCCAGTTCACGCCCCGCGGCAGCTCACTCACCTCAGGAAACAGGGCCAGCGGGAGCCACATCTCTATGGTCGACAGCGGCTGGAGCGGCCTCCCAGAGCTCCTTTTGTGCGACCGCCCCGGACCCACCCGCCTCTAGAACATCCGGCATGCGGAGGCCACACTTCCCCTAGTCGGCCAATGGGTATTCTATGATTTTTTTCCTGCCTCGGTCGTCCTTCTTAGAGTATCCCCGAAGAGCACGGAGGACCATCGAGAGTTGTGGGGCAGAGTGGCATGGTCTACTTGGTGGGCGTGGTGGGAAGTAGCTGAGAGATTTAGGGGGCGGGGACCAGCGGAGCTTCTCTCTAGGGCCGAGGGGTGAAACCATCGAGTCGGAGGGCCAGAGAGTCAGGACGGTAAGGGGGTGGGGTGACTGAGTACTCCACGTTCTGGGAAGCGTGAGCTACTGTATAGAGGGGGTTCGGAAAGGCCTTCTGGGTGTCTGGCAAGGACTGGGGAAGAGAAGAGCTTTGTCTGTACCCTGCGATGCATAGGTGTTATGGAATTTTGGATCCCAGGTCTCTAAACCTCAGCCGAGGTCACTGCTGTCAATTCACTGCTCTTCGTGCCAGGCGCCGGGCGGAATGGCGCGGGTGGGTGAGGTGGGCTGCCGGACAGTTGCGCTAGAAACAGTTTGGCAGTCTCGGGTCTTCTTGTTACAGTTGGACCTAGTATGTCTTTGGGGGCTGAATTTAGGAAAGGCTCTGTGGCGTCAATAGATGGGCAGAATGGGAAGAATGCAAAGAATAAAGAACGGGCAATCCGAGCCAAGAGAACTGCAGGAAAAAGGAGGTGGGAGATGTTTTGCATATTTGTTGAGCGGGGCATTGTTAGGAGCTAAGCCGTGAAAAATAGGTTGGTGCTTTGTTATGGGGTCCCTCAAGTAACAGGCTGAGGAGTTTGTATACAGTTCAGGTTCCGCTGGGAGCCAGACATTGAAAGCACTGGAGATGGGAGTGATATAAATTGAAGCTTATCCTAATTAAGCAAACTTTAGATGCAAGAGCTGGACTCATTAAAATGCCATGGCAATAAAAATTTGAAGAGACAGTTTAGGTGAGAGGTAATACAGAACTACACAGTAAGTCCCCAACTTGGGAATAGTTCTGTTCCTGGAGAACATTCATAAGTCAGATTCATTCCTAAGTGTGCCAAAGTGAGTCTCATACACCTTTGACACAAATATACAGTGTGTATTGCGTTGCACTTCCTGGCAGACCCCTCCACATGATCACTGCCTTTCCTCTTGCTTCCAGACATCCTGAGCTCTGACTGAGGACTGTACTAAGGTACACAGTCACACTGTACGGTAAGCACACAGCAGCAGAACTGTGACGATATCCAGCAGAGACATGAGCTACTTCTGGGATTTGTTTACATCTGAATGTTTCTTATGAGGTTCGTTCATAGCTGTGAAAATTTGCAACTTAATGTTTATAAATTGGGGACTTGGGGCTGGGGATTTAGTTCAGTGGCACAGTGCCTGCCTGGCAAGTGCAAGGTCATGAGTTCGATTCCTGGTACTGGAAAAAAAAAGAAAAACAAACAAACAAACAAATAAATTGGGGACTTACTGTAAACAGGACGGTAGGAATTGGGTGTGTAAGGGACAGGATATTTGAAGGACATGTGGTCACCTGTAGGTCAAGACGAGCCACCCCCGATAACTCCAGCCAGTGGGCCTTTACTATCTCAGCAGGTCCCAGGTGCCACAAAAATTCTGTCTATCTATTACCCTGATGTGAAGCCAGTTACATTGCTCTCTTGGATTTAAGGAATCTTCAAACACATTCCTCTACTGGGAAACTGAGGAATGAGTAGGCTGATGAAGGGCAAAATGGGATGAAGGACCTGAAATGTTGGCCCCTGTATTCCAACACCAGCCCTGCCCCACACAAGGAGGATATTAAAGCATAGAATAGAGCTGACCTTACTGCTTTTGCAGGAGGGAGTGGGAAAAGGCTGGGGACATATGGTGGGTTCCAGTTTCTAAATTCAACTTGTACTTTGTCCCACCTCTACTGTTCTCCACCCCTAGGTTTTGATAATGCCACACAGCCTGTAAGCTTTGGTGTTTCCCTTTCAAGATGCCACTTTCAGACTTTGTTCTAGCCCTGAAGGACAATCCCTACTTTGGGGCTGGATTTGGGCTAGTAGGTGTGGGCACAGCCTTAGCCCTGGCCCGGAAGGGCGCCCAACTGGGACTGGTGGCATTTCGGCGGCATTACATGATTACACTGGAAGTGCCTGCTCGAGACAGGAGCTATGGTTGGTTGCTCAGCTGGCTCACCCGACACAGTTCCCGTACTCAGCACCTCAGTGTTGAGACTTCATACCTTCAGCATGAGAGTGGCCGCATCTCCACCAAGTTTGAGTTTGTTCCCAGCCCTGGGAACCACTTCATCTGGTAAGATTGGGAGCCAGGGAGGGCTCTGAGAGTAGAAAAGGAGAATGGAGAGACCTGGGTTTGTCACATTGTCCTTTACTTACCTGTGTGGCCATTCTTATTCAGGTATCGGGGGAAGTGGATCCGGGTAGAACGAAGCCGAGAGATGCAGATGATAGACCTGCAGACGGGTACTCCTTGGGAATCTGTCACCTTCACAGCCCTCGGCACTGACCGCAAGATTTTCTTCAGCATCCTGGAGGAAGGTGTGGGATAGCACAGGAGGGCTTTCTTTATAGGGGGGATGCAGGGATGGAGGCACTGGACACGAGGAAGGGTAATTGAGAGAGTGGGAATAAGGGCATTGGAGCCCATGAAAGTGGGGACCAGGAGGAGGCCTTTTTGGTGAAGAATCAGCAGTGGTAAAGAGAATCATTGTCTCATCTTTACCCTCCCAGCTCGAGAGCTAGCCTTGCAACAGGAGGAAGGGAAGACGGTAATGTACACAGCTGTGGGCTCCGAATGGCGCCCCTTTGGCTATCCACGCCGCCGGCGGCCCCTGAGTTCTGTGGTTCTACAGCAGGGTCTGGCTGATCGAATTGTCAGAGACATCCGAGAGTTCATTGATAACCCTAAATGGTACACTGACAGAGGTGAGAACCAGCTAGGGTCTGGGCTAGGCTGTTTTTGACTATATTGTTCCAGCAGAGAAGGGGTGGTCGCTGGCCCAATTCCCAGTCACCTCTGGTGAAGGGGTAAAGAAAAGTTGCCTATGCAGACAATTTTAGAAATCACCAGGCCAGTATGGGGCAGGACTGGGGATGAATGTGGACACTGAGGGCAGAGTAATGTTTCACTTTAGGTCTTGTTTCTCCTGGCTATATCCCTAGGGATTCCCTACAGACGTGGCTATCTGCTTTATGGGCCCCCTGGTTGTGGAAAGAGCAGTTTTATGTAAGTAGTCAAAATTTCTCTTCACTCTGTGAAACGTAGCCTTTGTGGTGAAAGTGAGCTGATGGGGTTGGAGAGGGAAATGAATCTGGGGACCATGAAGCAAGATAAACATGAGACAGACATATAGACCATTGGGTGGGTGGTAGGAGAGCCAGGCCCTTTGAGACACACCTCCCAGGACTGGGACAAAAAGCAGTTGGGCCCAAGGAAGAGTGCCCAGGTTGCTTGCTACCGCCTGCCATATCATGGTCCACAGCACAGCCCTGGCTGGAGAACTGGAACACAGCATCTGCCTGCTGAGTCTCACAGACTCCAGCCTGTCCGATGACCGGCTCAATCACCTACTGAGTGTGGCCCCACAGCAGAGTCTGGTGCTCCTGGAAGATGTGGATGCTGCTTTTCTCAGCCGAGACTTGGCTGCAGAGAGTAAGTGAAGGTGCTAGGGATGGGGAGTGGTTCTAAATGAGGACACTGAGGCACAGTAGGAGAAAGTAAAAATCCAGGTTGATGGAGGACACAGGTTGGCAGTGCAAGGCACTGTGGAGCGGGGGACAGTGGTGGGTGTTTATTCTGAGCAGTGCTGTGACCACTCAGCTTCTCCATCTCTATCTCCCTGCAGACCCTGTGAAGTACCAAGGTCTAGGTCGTCTCACCTTCAGTGGGCTGCTTAATGCTTTGGATGGCGTGGCTTCTACCGAGGCACGCATTGTGTTTATGACCACGAACCACGTGGACAGGTAAGGAGTGAGGCAAGACTCTAGTCAGTATGTGTCTTGGGAGAACCAGGAGGTAGAAGTGACCATCTTTTGCGGGGGGTGCCATTAGGACTATTGCTTATAACTCTGCTTTTCCTCTTAGGCTGGACCCTGCCCTGATACGCCCTGGGCGAGTAGATATGAAGGAGTATGTGGGCTACTGCTCACACTGGCAGCTGGTGCAGATGTTCCAGAGGTTCTATCCAGAGCAAGCGCCTTCCTTGGCTGAGACTTTTGCAGAACATGTCCTTCAAGCTACAACCCAGATTAGTCCTGCCCAGGTACAGGGCTACTTCATGCTATATAAAAATGACCCTGCAGGGGCAATTCATAATGCTGAGTTTCTGAGGTGACTGACCAGGCGATTTACTCAGCTCCCCTTTCTGAAGAAATCAATAAATACTTGCCACTCTGCTCTGGTCTCACACTACCCTTCTCTCCTGGCTGTGCTCTGATGGCAGGGACTACAATCACAGATGCCAACAAGGGTCAGTCATGCCACCACATGTACAGATGATGAGGGCATGGTCCATGACAGAAGGGAGGAAGAGACCCTAGACTGAAGAAGACATATGCCTCCACCTAAGGGCATCTAAGTAAGAAATGCACAGCCAGGTGTGCTGGTACATGCCTATAATCCCAGCACTCTGGGAGGTTAAGTCAAGTTTGAGACCAGCCTGGGCAACCTAGAGGAGTACTTTCTCAAAAAAAGAAGCTGGGGGTCAGAGATGCAGCTAACTGCAAAGGCCTTGGGTTCAATCCTCAGTACCACCAAAAAATAAATGTGCAATTGTGAGGGTACACCCAGTGGGTTGGGTTATTTTGCCTCTTAAGGATTATGTTGAAATGTCAACCTCCCAGCAGTTTTCCCAGAAACTCATTACACTACTAGAAAAGTCAAAACCCTTTTTGCCTTGATCTCTTGGGAGAACAGACTAAAGGACAAAGGTAGGAGCTATTCTACTACACCCCAATCATGCTAGCGCAGAGAGAGGCATACCTCACAAGCTAGGAACTACTAAGCAAAGAAAGGTAAACAAGGCCAAATGTCTTTATTGTCCCACTCCCAGCCCCAATTCCCTGTCCCCCCTACAGTACTGCTAGGAACCATCCTCAGATTCCAGACCTAGGGGGTCCCTCCGAGTAGCAGGCCGAGTGCCAGGCCGGTATGCTCCCTGGCCTCGAGGCAGGCGGGGGTAGGAAGAACCTGGTATCCGGCCTTTGGAGCGCCCCCAGCGAGCACAGTCCCGAGTCCTTCGGGGTGGAGGGCCCTGCCAGCTGCCAGGTCCTTTTTCTTGGGGAAGACCTTCACCCTCTTGATTTTGGGGTTCCAGATTTAGGTTGACAGGCTCCTTGATGGGCCTCTCAGAAAATGGCAGTTCTTGGGTGTCACTGGTACCTCTGGGGGCAGAGAACTCCCCTCCCTTCAGGTGCCTCCTATTGGGCTGTCGCCAGGGCCCTTGAGTGGCCCGGGGGGGATCTAGCGTGGCTTTCTTGGTCTCATCCAACTTTTGCTTATTTGGCCCAGTCCCTGGAATCTTCTCACACATGTACTGGGTGGCCACAGGCAAAGGAGCTGGTAGGGTGGGCTGGGCAGCTGGTAAAGTAGACTGTTCTGTGGCAAGGGCATTAGGTGGTGGGTGGGATCCTCTGGAGACATCTACAGCCACTTCAGGTTCCAGAGGGGCAGAAGCCTAGAGAAGGGATATATTGAGGGAGATGCAGATCCTCAAAGACAGAAACAGCAGGCCCCTCTCTTCCTACCAGCCAACCACCATCAGCCTGTAACCTACTGGGTAGAGCAAGGTGCATCCTTTGGCCATGGCAGAGTGGCATTTGTAGGAGGGTTGGTGGCGTTAGAGGACAAGTGAGAAACTCTTCCCTCACCTGCTGAAGGCTGATGAAATACCGCTTCTGCTCAGCCTCAAGGTCAATGATGCCACCCCGCTCCTGCTGCCTCTGGTAGAGCTGCTTGAGCTGTTCCTGCTGGCGCAAGTTTTCTGCACTGGGTTGATAGAGCTCCTGGAGGGAAAGAAGCAGAATAGCAGGGAGGAAAAAACAAACAGGAGAAGGTGGCAGACTTGACCCTCTACTCTTCCACAACTGCCTGAGGGCAGCTGCACAAGATGCTTGGTTTTATGCCTTAGAGTCATGGCCCCAGTGGGGCTATAGCTTGGTGGACTGGTCCTAGGCAGGTCAAGCCCAATTCTAGAGATCCCATTTAGTGGAGACAAGATGCCATTCCTCCCACCTAAGAGAATGCCATTAATCCTGTCTCAGATGAGAAGGGAGTTCCCTTACCATAGGCTGTTGGGGTTCGGGGGCTGCTTTCAGTGACTCAAGATCATACACGAGGGGCTCTCTGCACACTGGACACTGCACACCGACTGCTTTCTAAAACAAGAGGAGAAATCACACCCTGCTCCCTGGCAGCCATCCTGATTTGCAGAGCACTGGGACTGAAGGGCACAGGCCTATCGCTTCAGCAGTGAGGTAGAACAGAGGAGGAGCTGCCAAACGAGAAGTCTGGGGACCCTTGGAAGCTGCAAGCCACATGTGTGTTGTGATTAAAAAATGCATAAAGTGAATGTTTAAAAATACTACAGTAAGAGACACAATGTCATTAATCCCACTTGAAATATTCCCTGTTGCTCCAAACACATGCAATCATTCTTGCCGCCCCCTCTTTTTTAAAGAATCCCAAGACTTTGTTTAAAATTACACTTATCACAAATTTAAAATCTGGAGATGCCTTTTTCCCCACCCAAAGACTTTATAAATACAGATAAAACGGCAAGCTCTTCATTTTAAAAGGTCATGTTGAAAATGGTTAAAGATAATCCCCATGGGCATTTATTTGACATCTGAGAAATGAAATCTTCAAGTACTCTGATCATCAGGGTTGTAAGGTCACTTCATGGTCCAGAATTTATAGTTAACCCCTCCATATAACAGGAAGAAGTAAAATCTGTATGGTCCAACAATAGGGGCAACTGCCCTGACATGATGCTCCTGGATAGATTCCTGGGTATTCAATTTCATCTGACAAGGAATACATCTGTCCCATTTCCCTTTTGCATTTACAGCTATTTTCTTCTTTTCATCACAAAGCTTATTGGAAACTATTTTTCATTGCAGCATGTCATGGTGATGTGCACACTAAAATCCAAATGAACCAAATCATATGTGATTCAAGTTTCAATGAAGGTACCTAATTGTTCGTGAACCTAGATGCCACAGAGAGTTAAATGAAGTCAAAGAAGACAGCTATGGAGACAGGACAGTCATAGCCCAGGGTAAGCTCATTGGGCTGGAGCTGCAGATTATTCACAGAGGCAATCAATTCATTTTGACCAGATGCCTCACTGTGGTACAGCTCACCATCAAATCAGAATGAACACAAGTCAACCTAAAAAGCACAAGGAGCCCTCCTAACATGCCTAAGATCATCCTCATTAATTCAGACCTCAGCCCTTTGGTCTGGATTAATGGAAGCAGAAGATTCTGTTGCCACTTTCTGGAGCAGTTCTGGAAGTCCTTTTATGAATGTCTTTAGCTGCTATCATGGCTACCTCAATATCCTGAATTGACTCAAAACGTTTACTTTTCTTTTTTTTGTGTTTGTTTGTTTTTTGTTTTTCTCCAGTACCGGGAACCGAACTCACGACCTTGCGCTTGCCAGGCAGGCGCTTTGCCGCTGAGCTAAATCCCCAGCCCCAAAAGACTTGTAGATTTTTTTTTTTTTTTGGTTTTTCTCCGGTACCGGGAACTGAACTCACGACCTTGCGCTTGCCAGGCAGAAGCTTGGCCGCTGAGCTAAATCCCCAGCCCCAAAAACGTTTACTTTTCATGGTCATTTTTATTCTGGGGAAGAGCCAGAAGTCACACAGTGCCAGACAATGGTGAATAAAGTAGATGAGGCTGGGCATGGTTGTGCATGCCTGTAATCCCAGCACTCAGGCCGAGGCAGGGGAATCACTGAGTTTGAGGCCAGCCTGAACTACACAGTGAAACTGTCTCAAAAATAAATAAATACAGTGGATGATGACATCATCTTTTTATGAGCCTGCCTTTCTGTTGGATGGCACATGGCCAGAACACTTGCTGTATTCTTTATTACTCCTTTTGAAGACACAAAAAGACATCCAGAAAAGCTTCAGAAAGTGGCAAGAACAATGGGACAAGTATTTTCAAAGTAAGGGATTGAGGATTAAAGGCAACATGTCATGTACTGTAATAACTTTTTAATTTAAACATTCACCATATACTTTGATCACCCTTTGTACATGTAAATAAGGACGACCTTTTCTTTATGGATAAAGGTGAGAATCTATCCATTTCAAAGCTATCTATGACTCTAAAAAGGAAAAAAGCTACTGGAGTGGAGGGATGGGAATGGTCATGCAGGTCTCAGTGTCAGGGGAGAACAGGTGCTGGCTAGGCCTACCTCTTTGGTGGCAGCATGGTGCCGTTCCTGTTCTTGCTCCTGTCCTTGAGCTTTCAGCTCTTGCTCCATGTGCTGGATATACCGAGCAAGGCAGTGGCAGTGGAAATAGTGGTAACACAGCGTTTTGGTAAAGGCTTCCTTCTCCTGGAACAGGTACAGATGGAAGGTGCTCTGTCAGTGGTCACTCACAAGCTCTACTCTGTCTGCCCCAAGCACATCCCAGGCCCCAACTGAGAAACCCACCTGGAAACCATACAGGCAGATGACACACTGGCCATGGGGGATGTTGTTATCTGTGAGAATTTCCTTCCCTTTCTGACAGAAGAGAAGACAACACCGCTCAAATACAGAGGCAAGGGCAGGAACTACCAGACCAGCTTGTCTGCTCCTCCCAGGTGTGTGGAGTGACTGGTTGGACTCAGTACCCCCCAGACCAGCTTGTTACTGTGTAATTATACATTCCTGTCCTGGTGGTGCTCCCCCATCTTTCTGCACAGTCCACCCACTCTTGCAATTGGATCTTCCTGGTTTCAAAATCCCAGTTGTTTTTCCTCTCGATAGTAACTTTTAATATATTATTTGAGGGGCTGGGGATTTAGCTCAGTGGCAAAAGCGCCTGCCTGGCAAGCGCAAGGTCGTGAGTTCGGTTCCCGGTACCGGAGAAAAACCAAAAAAAAAACCAAACAAATATATTATTTGAATAGGTAATATTCTGGAATTCCACAGTTTAAAGCTACATTGTGAAGACTTCACCTAGGAGTGTTACAGTGCTCTAATATGCCCACTCCCAGACTCTAGGCCATTGACCTTCATTCTCTTCTGATCATTTTGCTTAAAAATAATTTCAAGTTGAGGAAAACAAGACTTGCTTTTAACCTCAAACAATAAAAGTTATCTGTGTATATTAATTTATAGCTCTACATATTGCTTCATGTGGACTGTTTCTTTAACTATGGTATAAATTCTCTTAGGTACAGAACTATGACTTTTCTAGTCAGCTCCAATGGCTAGCCTTCAAATGTTCATTTATGGCTAACGCCACCTAGGCAAGATCACTATCTTTTGCCATCTGAAGTTGCCAGTGCCAAGAGAACAATAAAGCAATGAAATTGCAGCAACAAAAATGCAAGCTAAAGAGGAAAAATACTTTTCTGTCAAGATAGTCTAACAGGCAACCTGATGAAACTACTGATGTGTCTTTTGGGGAGATTTTCTGAAACATAAGTTATCTTTTTAAATTAGTTCAGGTCTTACCTAAGTAAGGACCAAAGGAATGACTACATATATGATATATTTAGGATTCCTTTGAAAATAAAGCAAAATAAAACACAACTGCTATAGCTTGAAGGGAAGGACATTTTCCCATGCCAGCACACCTTACCTCAATGAGTTCATAGAGCATGGCAGTACCCAGCCCTGCCTTGGCCATGTGGCCCAGTGTCTGTGAGATCCTGGAAGAGAGCAAAGCTAGTATTAGGCCTGCCCCTTCTCTTGCTAGGCAGAACAGCATACCAAGTTTTTCCTGCTCTGACAGCCCAACTTACTTGTGGATCTGTTCATCTGAGAGTCCTCGAGGGTTCCGGATAGAGATCTGTGGCACCTCATGGGGATACTAGTGTAGGGGAAATAACAAGTTACTGCTAAAGTGATCCGCCCCAGGGACCTTCTTCCTTTCTACCCTTTGCTGCTGTATGGCAGGAGTCTTACCTGCACTGGGACTTGAAGCACCAAAGTGAAGCAGACATACTGTGAATCCTGGTCCTCTGCAGTGGCCGGGTGCAGAGTGATGAAGATCTCCCACGGTGAAGATCTAAAATTAGATGAAGTAAGACTCAAGCTATGACTGGGCAGGGGCTCAAGGGTTGGGGAGGAGAGGGGGTGAGAGGGAGAGGAAGTGAGCATTGGCCTCTTTCTTTAGAGTGGATAAAGGAACAGCTTTTGTGTACACAAGACAGACATTATCTCTGAATCAAGGGTTGCAGCGTTGTAAAACCAGATTACGCACAGAATCCTCTGCATTACTAAGGATACCTCTGCATACCCTAGTTGAATACATACCTGCCATTTCCTTTAATCACCTGTAGTTCATCCAGATAGATGGATTCTAACACTTCAACTTCAGAGGGAAGGACCCTAAAGACACAGGAGGAAACTGACTCACCATTACAGATCTTCCTGACGAAGTCTGCTAAAGCTGATAAAGGCTGGCTGTGTAGAAAAATGGCAATCTGCCTTGAAGCATTCACTTGTTAAATTCCTTAAAAAGGAAGGAAAATTTTCCTCAAGTTGCCAAGTGGCCAGGTAGGAAGTTGGGAATCAGAATTCTAGAGATCACTTCTGCCAACAGGTTAGGAAACAGATTCCCAGAGAGATGAAAAGACTCACCAAGCATTAACATAGGCAGAACAGGGACCAGAGCCTGGTTTCCTGACTCCCTGTTGAAGTTTCAGTCTACAGCTGGTTATCTCTTAATGGCTATTTCTCCAACCCAAATATAGGGAATCTATTTATTACCAACAAGGTTACCAATACTGCCTTTCCCTACACCACAGTTAAGCATGGATCCCAGTGCCTTGCCTAGGGCCTAACCATACTGCCAACACCATCATTCTAAGCCTTCTCAAAGGAGATACTGACTTGAACAGAACAGGTCTAGGTGGCATAAAGGCTGTGCTGTAGCAGAAGAGCCATCAGCCTTGGAGTCAGTAATATGTGCCAATCACTTACCAGCTACTATATAATCTGGGTTAATTCTTTAAGCCTGAGTTACTCTACTACATATAGACACCATGTATGTCTATTGCATATAGAGTCTACCTAGTCTCTAGGGTTATTGTGAGGATTAAAGGTGATTTGTTTTTGTATAGTACCTAATAGTGTCTGGGCCATAGTGACTAGTTTAAGTCCTCTTTTATCCTGTTTGTATATAACTTTCCCACTTAAAAGAAGGATGTACTTGGAGTATTCTGGATGTATTTTGACCCTCACTGGCTGGTTGGCCTAGATGACCCTGTCAGGTTAGGATCCACGATCCTGTTGTAAATCAGGGACACATATATGGAAGCACAAAAACAGCAACTGTAATGATACTGAAGGTAAGTAATTTGAGTCACCGTTCAATCCAGGTGATAAATGGAAAGATGCATGTTTTGCTTTCTTATATATTGTTCCCTCTTCACCAAGAGCAGCTCTCCCATAGCATGACCTATATCATAGTTTCATTTTTAAAAATATTTCTAAGTCTTAGGTAGAACCTCAATATATAAAATATAAAGCTTTACACTTACAAGAGAGAAGTAGTTCTGCTGACATAGGAATAGAACCCCTGCACTAGAGCTTGCAGCACAAATCACTGCCGCCCTCTCATTTGCTTAAGATGTTCCCTCAGACTCTTAAAGTTCTCCCAAACAGTGAAAATTGCTAGTCTAGATTGTCTTAACAAAAGCCAGCACTGGCTGGGCTCCCAGAACTAACTTAACACTGAGGTATAACACTTGAGCTTCAATCAAGATGCTTTTCAATACTTTGCCCATCCTACCTATGACCTGAGTCCTGGGGGTAAGGTAGGGGATGGGATGGTAGTAAGGTGGTGGCAAAAAGAGTGTGTGTGTGTGTGTGTGTGTGTGTGTGTGTGTGTGAGAGAGAGAGAGTGTGTGTGTGTGTGTGTGTGTGTGTGTGTGTGTGTGGTAAAAGTGTGCTAGTACTAGGAATAAAAGGCCTGAAGTCAGACCTGGGTTCCTAGTAGTAACTGAGTAACTTCTAGCAAACCACTTTACTTCTTTGGGGCTCGTCTAGTCTCCTCTGATACTCCACCCTCAGAGTTATTAATAAAAAAGCTTGGGTATGTTACAAATCCATAGCGATCCTCTTAAGTACTCTGAGGTAGACGCCACACCCACTTTTTCACAGCTAAGAACAATGAGTCACAGAAGCCTAGGTGGCCTGGTCAGCATCATACAGCTAATAAAGTGGGGAGTGTGCCCACATTTCCTATTTTCAAACCTGAGTCGTTACAAGTTCTTGTCTCTTAAGAATGCTTGAGCGAAGGGCTATGAGGGCTTCTTCTCCAGTTTAGCTCTGACAGTAGTCCTCCTCAGTGCTATCGGAGTCCGAAGTTTGAGGAAAAAGTAGGCGGAAATGGACTGAACTAAGGGGCAAACGGGCTGGGGCTGCAGGACGTTTCTGGGAGTTGCGGAGGTCTGTCAGCAGGGATCCTTCAAGCCTCTGAGAAAATTTACTTTATAAAAGAATGGCGACGGGGAGGCAAAGGGGAGGTATAGTAATCAAGCCAATAAGGCGTGGCCCCAACTGGCCAAGCAGGTGCAGACACAGACTCCTCTCACGTCTGCGCCCCTGCACTCTTCGGGTCCCAATCCAGAATCTCGTCTAGGAAGAGGTGTCAGTATCTTTGCCATCCCTCATGCCTTGCTCTGTCCCATAGGACCGCCGTACGAACTGCCTGTAGCCGCCGCTAGTTCCCCGCACCAGATTCAGGCAGGCAGCAAAAGCCGAAGACCCAAACTTACCAGTCCTCCTCCCCTGCAGGGGCCGACGCAGACGCCGCCATGTCTTCTCCGGCCGGCAGCCGGAACCGGAAATGCCCTTTGAAAGTTGGGGACGGAAAACCCGGGCGGGGTGGGAGGGGAAACTCGCGCTGTTTCTAGGCAACGGCCGACTCCGGGTCCTTCGCGGGGCCTGATGGCCGAGCACTGTCTTTGGTGCCCTGGGAAGTTCCTATGAGCGGACCTCGTCTCTCCCAGGTTTCTCAGAGTCTTTGTCCTCGGAACTTCTGACAGTTCTAGCGAGTATAACCGGTAAGGATAAGAGCCTAAAGAGACCGGCATAAGAGGGTGAAGAAAAATGATTGGTCAGGCAAAGTATGTAGGCAGCCAGAAGGGACTAGCGTAGAGGCCAGGCAGGTATGCCTCGGCCTGAGGAGTTTGAAGCTCCTAACTGGGGTGAAAGAGGGTTCCCCGGCTGGTCAAGAGATAGAGCAAGGGGTCTGGGTGGTGTTGCTGAGGTTGGGATGGCAGGAATTTGGGAGGGGCTGAAAAGGCGAGGCTAGTTTGAGGGGGGCGGGGGAACAAGTAAACTTGTGGGTGCTGGGCTTGGTTGGGAGAGTGGACAGGAGACTGTAAAAAAAACTGTAAAAAGAAGTCCAAGGAGACAGTCTGTTTGTTCAAAGATCTCGTCATCTTTCCATCCACAGCACCCTACCATATTTTTGAGGCCTGGATTATTGTGAAAAAATACTAACATTTACCCCTCTGTGCCCTTACCAGGCTTCTCAGATGTGTGGAACTGTCCCTGGATGTGTAGCTCTTTGCCACCATCTCTACCTTTTTCCTTCTGAGAGATCCTGAAACGTTTGTCATGGAAAAGTATCACGTGTTGGAGATGATTGGAGAAGGCTCCTTCGGGAGAGTGTACAAGGGTCGGAAAAAATACAGTGCTCAGGTGGTGAACGAAGACGGATATCTTTTGAGTGGGATTTTTTTTTTTTTTTTTTTTTGGTACCAGAACTCGAACTCTGGACCTTGCATTTGCCAGGCAGGCGCTTATGCCACTGAGCTACATCCCCAGCCCCTTGAGTGGGATTCTTTTTCCCCAATTCTAGTGGAAAACAGAGCCAGAGGGTTATACTTATCCCAACCTGTGTTCTACAGGCACTGACTCTTCCAAAGTATGATCTCTGAAGCTGAATTACTTGGGTTCAGCTTCCACCTATCCCAATTCACAGTCTTAGAACTGTGGACTACTTTTCAGTGTCTCAGTTTCTTCATCTATAGAATTGAAATAGTAACTCATAGGGCTTCAGGATTAAATATCTCATCACACTAAATCACTTTGTACAATACTTAACCCCCATAAATAACAAATATTATTGTTATTATTGGTCTGTCATACCATGTGGGAAGAGATGAAACACTTGGAACTCTATTCTTCCCTCTTCGTTTTTCTTTCTTTTTCCCCCAGTGTCATCTTGAGTTTTTTGGTTAGATCAGATCACTTCTCCAAGAATCCAACAAAGGGAGCCAGGCATAGTGATACATGCCAGTAATCCCAGTACTCTGGGAGGCTATGGCAGGAGCATCCCAAGTTCAAGCCCAGCTTGAGCAATGAGTGATTTAATATGTATCTGTCTCAAAAAATTAAAAAGAGCCAGGATATGGCTCAGTGTGAAGGTGCTGGGTTCAATCCCCAGTACTGAAAAAAAAAAAAAAAAACAAAACAAAGAATCCAGCAAAAGGATCCGTTTGGCAAATACTGTTTGCTCCTGGGCTGGGCGATGGTGAAGTGGTGGGATTGGGTACTGAACAAGACAAAGAACCATGGGGAAAACAGAGATGGGAAACTTGCAGATATAATGAGTTACTCAAACTGTTTAAAATTGAGTTTTAGCCGGGTGTGGTGGTGCACGCCTGTAATCCCAGCACTAGTGAGGCTGAAACAGGAGGATCTCTGTGAGTTTGAGACCAGCCTGGGCTACAAAGTGAGCTCAAGGCCAGCCTGAACTGCATGGGGAGACCCTGTCTCAAAAAAAAAGACAAAAAAAAAAAAAATTAAAAAAAATTGAGTTTTAGAGCTCTGCAGTTCAGCTTGAAATTCTAGTCTTTTTTGTAGTTGTGGTTAGACCTTGAGTCTTTACTTCACCACTGACAGGTGGTGGCGCTGAAGTTCATCCCTAAACTGGGGCGCTCAGAGAAGGAGCTGAGGAATCTGCAGCGAGAGATTGAAATCATGCAGGGTCTTCGTCATCCTAACATTGTGCATATGCTTGACAGCTTTGAAACTGATAAAGAGGTGTGTTTTGATGGTTTGGGATCATTTCTCCCCAAGCTCAAGGGTCCCAGGTATTTCTCAACCTCAGAATGCATGAATCTTCTATCACTGTCACTACCTTCTTCCTGCAGGTGGTGGTAGTGACAGACTATGCTGAAGGAGAGCTTTTTCAGATCCTGGAAGATGATGGGAAACTTCCAGAAGACCAGGTATGCATGCTTCCCATACCTGACCTCTGTCCAGGTGGAGGATAGGTAGAGCAGGTCAAAAGCCTTGAGAGTCTCTATTTTTGAATACTCCTGACAAGAATGCATGAGTCTGGGGACACATAAGGCAATATTGAGTGCTGGAGCCATACTATGTGAGTATGAAACTTGGTTTTGCCTGCCCCTCACTAGTTGGTTTCCCTTGAACAAATTAATCTCTTTGTGTTTAGTTTTTTCATTTGTAAAATGGAGATATTGCTAGTGTCTACCTCCTAAGGCTATGATGGGGATTAATGAGTTAATTTATATCAAGTATTTAAATAATTGGCTAATATTAATGTCATAGTCATTGTTATGAGATATCTTTGAGGAAGTTGGGCCAGTATGGTGGTACCAGAGAGGGCAGTGAGAGATAAGAGCTGTGGTCATGTGGTATTCGCCACTGACACATAGTGATTAGCAGTGGGATTCAGGTTGAATAGTTTTCAGCCACATACATTCTAGGCGTTTCTCTGTAATAAGTCTAATAAATAGTACCTCCTACTGAAATCCTTATCACTATATTCTTTTTCCTTGTCTTCACTATTTGTAAGTAACCATTTTATTTAGTCTTGTTTGTATCATTACTTCTCTAGAGAAAGGGGATTTTATTTTATTTATTAACAGCTAATTTGTAATGAATTTTTACTACGTGCCTGGCACCTTTTTTTTTCTTTTTTTCTTTTTTAGACAGGATCTCACTGTGTAGTAGTTCAGGCTGGCCACTATGTAGTCCAGGCTGGTCTCATTCACAGGGATCCTCTTGCCTCAGCATCCTAAGTGTTAGGATTACAGGTGTGTGTCACCATGCCCAGCTGGCAGGCACCATTCTGAGCTCTGTGAGAATAGGAGAGATCACCTCAGCTGCTGTTGTATTAGGAGAAGTCTTTGGGCTTGTCAGCCACCCCTTTCGCTCACTGTTTCTTTCTCCCTCCCTCCTATCCGACCCCTAGGTTCAGGCCATTGCTGCCCAGTTAGTGTCAGCCCTGTACTACTTGCATTCCCATCGCATCCTACACCGAGACATGAAGCCTCAGAACATACTCCTTGCCAAGGGTGGTGGCATCAAGCTCTGTGACTTTGGGTAAGGTTTCTGAGTTTCCAGTTCTGCAGGGAGCCCTAGGCTGTATACATATTACTTGGGCTTCATTTTAGAAGCTGGAGATTGGCCTTTTGCTGGGTCCCTTGGAACTAATCAAAGACACTTTCTCTGTTCTGGCTTGGGATATCTCATACAATGACATGTAGTAAATGACTGTTTTAGTCACTTTCTTGCTGCCAAGATATAATACCTGACACTTACAACTTAAGGAAGGAGAGTTGTACTTTGGCTGACAATCTGTAGAGGTTTCAGTCCAGAGTATGCTGACTCTAAGACAGAACTGCGTGGCACAGGGGTGTGGCACAGTGGAGTTGCTCATGGCATGGTGATGGAGAAGCAGAGAGAAATCAAGGGAGGACGGAGGGGGAATAAACCTCAGTAACATACTTTCTCAGACAGGGGTTCACCTCCCAGCATCACATTTAGCTATAAACTCCTCAGTGGACTAACGTACTGGTAAGTATCACACTCTTAAGATCGTTACTTCCCAGAAGGCCCGCCTCTGAGCATATGAGGCTTTCAGGGAACATACAAACCATAACAATGACGATATTCAACTTCTAGGAATGACCATGTCCAGAACATCTTTTCCTTTTCCATTTCCATCCTATCATCTGCTGCAGATTTGCCCGGGCTATGAGCACCAATACAATGGTGCTGACGTCTATCAAAGGTACACCACTCTATATGTCTCCAGAGCTAGTGGAAGAGCGACCATATGACCACACAGCGGACCTCTGGTCTGTGGGCTGCATTCTGTATGAGCTGGCTGTGGGAACTCCTCCCTTCTATACCACAAGCATCTTTCAGCTAGTCAATCTCATTCTGAAGGACCCTGTGCGCTGGCCCTCTACCATCAGTCCTTGCTTCAAGGTAATAAAATAGGAAGGGAGAGTACACATCAGGTTTACATCAGAAACCTGTCTCCCTCTACCTCTGTTTTCTTTTCCAAAATCCTTTTCCAGAGCTGGGCCAAGCAGCCTTGCTATTCTCCCACAGGGACTTATTCCAAGAGGGTGTTGTAGGGTCTGCTGAACTTGGGAATGGTAGCCTTTGTTTGAAGCAGGCTATGCTCTATCACAGTGGGGGGTGACCTATGGCACGCTAGCTGCAGCGGGCTGCTTATATCATTGAAAGCTCTAAAGAGTTCGCTATCACTGCTATATCATAATGGAAAGATAATTTCATGACACCAGAGACAATGGTTGTTTTATATGTCCTCTGTTCCACTTATTTCCTCTCAGATGCCGTATCTAGATGATACCTACATGTTGTCCACACTATTTTCACTGTCCTTCAAATGAGATCGGGCACATTCAGGGTGGTATGGCCGTAGACGCACTGCCCTTCAGACATCAGAATGGCCAGTGATGGGGCTGGCTCGATGATTAGGGGCAGATGACAGAGGTGGTACATGTTCGTTATAACTAAGTCTCAGCAGGCTGGCAAATGGGAGGGACGAAGGGGGAAGAGTTTGTACTCTTTTTTATTTCTCATCTAGGGCAAGATTATGGACCATCAGTGGAATTTAAGTGCTATCTACTCCTAGAATAAAACCTTAATATAACTTTTCTTTGCTTTTATCTAAGGTGAAAAGGAAAAAATTTCTTCTCAACCTATTTTGTTAGGCCCAAGTGATTATCAGAAAGAATCTAAAGAAAGAATCCTTAATTTGAGAGAGTGTACATGAGATATTCATTCTTTAGGACGGGTGTGCAGGTATCTTCAGCAAGAGCTATAATTATACAGATCACCTTGTTTTAGAACAGTGATCATAATCTAGTAGTGCCTTTTATTCTTGTTTTAGGCCCAATTGAAGATTTTCCCAAGGATACCTCATAACAGATGTACCCTTTTGAGAGATAGTCTTCCTCCCTCTCCACCATCTGAAGACTTGCTGAAAGATTTCTGGTCTTGAGTGTTCCCAAACACATCTTTACACCATTACTTGAGTGTGTGAGTGTGTTTTAAAACCTAGATGCATTTGTTCTTACACAGCTACAAAGAAACCATGAAAGGGAGGGCCAAGGGAAGAGTTTGGGACTCCTTTGAATGTTTGGTTTCTAAAGAGGATTGTAAAGCTCCTCTTTCATTTTTTTCCTCTCTTTTTTGCAAAGCCGTTGATCTTGAGATTTCTACTTTTACTTCTGGGGTCACAGAATGTCTGTGAACAGGAATTGGGTCCCTGTAGGAGGTAAGGCTGCAGTCTGTCTGGAAAATGAGACCTAAGGAAAGGGTTGTTGAGAGTATGGCAGAGCCTACTGTAAGAGTAGATGCAGGAATCTTGGTTTGCCGGTTCTGCTGATAGATTGGAGAGAACATCGAGGGAAGAGGAGGAAGGGTTGATGGGGCATTGTTTCTCTCCACAGAACTTCCTGCAGGGGCTGCTCACTAAGGACCCCCGGCAGCGTCTGTCCTGGCCAGACCTCTTGCATCACCCCTTTATTGCTGGTTGTGTCACCAGTGAGTATCAGAGTCCCCAGGGCTCTAGCACTTTGAAGTATTTTCTCCAGGCTAACCCCCTGCCTCAATATCTGAATCTAATATATTTTCTTTCCCCCACCAGCTCAAACTTTGCTTCTAGCTCTTCTTAGCCTAACATTTGCCATTCTTGCTTCCTTTTTGTCACTTTGTTTAAGTGACTTCCTCCACAGAAGCCCGGAGGCACTGAAGTTGTTCCTGGCTAAGTGGACATGGTGGATAAAGCTCTAGAATAATCATGTCTTCCCCTGTCTCTCTCCTGCAGTAATAACAGAACCAGCAGGCTCAGATTTGGGCACCCCATTCACCAATCGCCTACCCCCAGAACTTCAGGTCCTAAAGGATGAACAGGCCCATCGGCTAGCCCCCAAGGGCAATCAGTCTCGCCTCTTGCATCAGGCTTATAAACGCATGGCTGAGGAGGCCAAGCAAAAGGTGTGTTGGGGTATAGGAAACTTCATTAGTATGACCAGGCTAGTGACTAGGAGAGCTGGAGAAGGATGACTTTCTAGTTAATTGGGGAAAGGGCCACAAGTAGGATCCATACTGCCCTATGGCAACCAAATAGTTTTTTTTGTTTTTGTTTCTTTTTTGAGACAGTGTCTTGCTCTGTAGTTCAGGCTGGCCTTGAACTCACTGTGTTGCCCAGGCTGGCCTCAAGCTCAAGGCAGTCCTGCCTCAGCCTCTGGAGTGCTGGGATTACAGGCGTGTGCCACCACACCCAGCAGCAAACAAATAATTCTGATCTAGTGTCTTCTACTCACCTCCCACAGAAACAGCAGAACACAGGACCTGCCCTTGAGCAAGAAGACAAGACCAACAAGATGGCCCCTAGCACAGCCCCTAAGCTGGAGCTAAGGACCACTCCTGAAAAATCAAGCCTCTTGGCTGGCATCGTGGCCTCAGAAATGAAGAGCAGTTGTGCTGAGAGGCGGTCTGTAGAGGCACCCCCTGCACCTCGGTGAGGAGGATATAGTTAGGGGTCTCTGTAGGGGAAGGTCTCTCACAGAGCTTTGGCTCTAGCCAAAGCATATATGACATGGTCCTTTCACTGGCTATTGCCTAAACATAGACAGGGCCTTAGGGATTTAAGTCCTGGATTCTTAATACAGCTATTTTCCTAATTCACTGGGAAACTTGAGGACTTTCTCTTTTTTTATGTGTCAGTTACACTTTGAAGGGGAAAAGATCATCTGCATCTAAAAGGAAGGATTGAGTTAAAAGCTATAGATGAAAACTATAAAGTAGGCTTGAGAATAAAATCCAGTGAGGGAAAGCAGTTAAGAGTATGTGCATGGATGCCAACATGTCCTATACTGGCCATATCCCATATCCCAAAAGGAAATTTCCTCTGTCTACTTGTATGGCTTGTTTCTCATTCTTTTCCTGGGTGGGAGGGGAGGGACACACAAGTTAATGAACCCTAAGCCTCACAGATCTAGAATTCATCTTATGCCATGGCTTCCTCCGGCAGGGAAAACTGTATCACCCCAGATTGTGAGCAAGCATTCCCAGAGCTGGGGCCAGAGGTGGTGAGCCCACAGAGCACAGATACAGGGGACCTAGAAGACGAGGTGAGTTCTGGGGTTCTGCTTGGCTTTCTCTGCCATGGGATGCTGGGTCTAGTTGAATGTTTTTCTAGGATAGGGATGCTCTAATTATCAGCTTTAAGTACAAGTTCCCTTTGTATCAAAAAAGTACTTTATTATCATTTCATAGACTATTGCACAATATCTGAACACATAGTTCTGAAAAATTAGAATTCATAGGTGAAAATTGAGGTCCCAAGTTAGGTATAGTGGTGCATGCCTATAATTGCAAGTACTCAGGAGGCTGAGGCAGGAAGATGGCTTGACCCTAGGAATTCAAGGTCAGCCTGGGCAGTATAGTAAAAGCTCATATTAAAAAAAAAAAGAATTGAAGGTCTGCTTTGGGCCATATCTGAGTTGCAGGGATGAGTTCTATTTTACTAGATGAAGAGGTGTCGCCTTCCAAACTTTCTTACTTTTGTATACGTGTATCTGGACACAAGGAAATCTATTGTCTGTTCTTACATTACTGAGTTCATCCTGTGTATATTGTCTTGTATCATTCTATCATTTGTCTTTTACCATATGATCTGTTTTAGGACTTTTCCTGTAGTAGAGCATATAGTTCTCCCCCAGTCTTTTATGTTTAAGATTCTAACTTTTTATTGTGAAATAATTTCATCTTAAGAGTAATTCCTATATACCCTTCAGTTCCTACATATAATTCCTATACTATCCTTGTGGTCCATTTTGTGCTGAGACTACATAATTTATTTTATTTTTTGGAGACAGGGACTCACTTTGCAGTTCAGGCTGGCCTGGAACTCACTATGTAGCCCAGGCTGGCCTTAAATTCATGGCAGTGTTCCTGCTTCAGTCTCCTGAGTGCTGGGATTACAGATGTGCACCACACACCTGGCTTGAGAATGGATAATTTATAATGAACAGAAATGTCTCAAAGTTTTGGAGGCTGAGGAGTTCAGGATTGAAATGCTGGCAGGTTAGGGCCTAGTTAGTTTCTCTGCATCTAATGCAGTACCCTGGCTGCCACATCTTCGGTGGCGGGGGTGGAATCTGTGTCCTCATGTTGCAGAACAACAAAGGAGAGTGAATAAACTCATCTCACAAGCCCTTTTTATAGCAGTGCTAATCCATGTGTAATGTGGAGCCCTTGTGACATAAAAACAGACCATTAGGCCTCACTTCTCAACATTGTTGGATTAGAGGTTAAGTATCTAACACAAACATTTTGGAGAGGACAAAAACATTCAAACCATAGTACCTCTTATACCCAGATTTGCCCATCTAAAGTTTGTCACATTTGATTGACACTTCTGTGCATATATAGATGTGTTGTTTCTTGAATCATTTTGGAGGAAGTTGCAGATGTGCCCCTTTTACCCCTAAATATTTTATGCATGTTTCCTAAGAATAAGGTCATTCTTGTGTACTGTCACGGTATAATTATAAACATCAGAATAATACCATTTATAAACCAATTATATACCAATAATAATACCAATTATAAACATCAGACATAATACCATTATAATAGTAAGAAAATTAAGAAACTAATCCACTCAAATTCTTCTGATAAAGTACTTTATTAAAAATTATTTTTCAGGGGCTGGGGATTTAGCTCAGTGGCAAAAGCGCCTGCCTGGCAAGCGCAAGGTCGTGAGTTCGGTTCCTGGTACCGGAAAAAAACAAAAAAAAAAAAAAAATTATTTTTTGTAGTCTATGATTCAACCCAGTGTCATACACTGTATTTAGTTATACCTCTTTAGTCTCCTTTAAGCTGCAATAGTTCCTGTTCTTTCTTTGTCTTTTTTTTGAGACAGGGTCTTGGTATGTAGTTCAGACTGGCCTTGGAACTCACTATATAGCCCAAGCTGGCCTTGAACTTGAGGCAGTCCTCCTGCCTCAATCTCCTGAGTGCTGGGATTATAGGCATGTACCACATTCCCAGCTTCTTTGCCTTTTATGAATAACAGTTTTGAGATACATGTATTAGTCCATTTTTAAATTATAACTAAATATATGAGGCTGGTTAACTTTATAGAGAAAAGAGGAAGCCAGGTATGGGGGTGCATGCCTGTAATCCTAGTACTTTGCGAGCCTCAGGTAGGAGGATTACAAGTTTGAGCCCAGCCTGGGAACTTGGTGAGAGCTTGTCTCAAAATTTAAAAAAGTATTGGGGATTTAACTCATTGCAAAGGTCCTGAGTTTAATCCTAAGTGCCAAAATAATTACTTAAAAAATAAAGAAAGAAAATAAAAGGAAAAAAGAGAATTATTTATTTAGCTCATAGTTTTGGAGATCGCAGGGCCAGGCATTGGCATTTATTTGGCTCTGGTGAGGACCTCATGGCTGAAGGTGTCAAGACAGTGAGGCTGGAGGTGGGAAGAAGGATTACATCTCGCAACAGGAAGCCAGAGAAAGTAGGTGAGGCCAGTCATAGGGCTTTGTGACAGGCCAGTCCCAAACTGGGCATATAGCTCAGTGGCAGAGTGCTGACCTAGCATTCATGAGGTCTTCAATTCAATCGCCAGTACTGCAGTAAAGAAGAAAAAGAGAAATATACCTCATCCCTTCCAGGGGCTGCCCCCCATTGACCATCTACCAAGCCCTACCTCTAAAATGTTCCACTATCTCCCAGTCCCTCCTCAGTGGTAACCAAGCCTCCAACACATCAACTTTCAGAGAAATACGTAAAGAATGTGCAAACCTGAGAAGTACATAAGCCCTGTTCCTCACAGTGCTGTTTCCTCATTGTTAGATTTGAGTTATACATTTTTGGTAGGAATACAAGATAAGTGATGCATCCTTGGTACCTCAGTCTCTTTAATAACCTCATAGTGTTTCCTATTAGGGATGGAGTTTGGAGTTTGGTTTATTATTCCCTTCCCAACTGATTTCAGGATGCTTCCCTTTTTTGTTATTAGCAACCATGCTGTGATGGTCATCTCCTAGGCATCTCTGCGCTCCAGGACCCCTCACACTACCAGTGTGTCTTTCCTTGCCTGGCAGCTGAAGATGTACACCTGTGCTGCTTGTAGTCTCTTCACGAGACCCCTGGTTTCTAACCCCTGGTTGGGAGTGAGGAACCTGAGACTTGCGTGCTCCTCTTGACTTCCTGTATTTTCCTGCCTCTGCCACTGCCTTAGGAACCAGACAGTGACAGTGAATGGCAGCACCTACTAGAGACCACCGAGCCTGTTCCTATTCATCTGAAGGCTCCGCTCACCCTGCTGTGCAACCCTGACTTCTGCCAGTGCATCCAGAGTCAGCTTCGTGAGACCGGAGGGCAGGTAATGGGGAGAAGGTGCTCTGAGTGGCATTCAGGACTTTGCAGAGATTCAGAATTAAAACACATTCACTAAGCCAGGCGTGGTGGTGCACCCCTGTAATTCCAGCACTTGGGAGGCTGAGGCAGGAGGAGTGCCACAAGTGAGTTCACTTGTGGCTACATAGTGAGTTCAAAGGCAGCCTGCACTCCATAGCAAGATCTTGTCTCCAAAAATACAAAACACATTCACTGACATAAAGTTTGCCCCTTCTCAGTCCCTTTAGTGTATTTACTTAGAGGAGGCTTACTAATCTCCTCATAACACAGAGCAGAGTCAGGTTTCTCTTTATAAGGAAAAGTACCTGTCTAGCGCGAGGATCAATAACCTTTATCTAATTGTAAATACCTTAGGAATTGTGGGTCATGAAGCAAAAATGGAGTCTATTTTATGTAAGTACTTATAAAATGAACGAAAATACATCTCCACAAAAATTTTCTTGATGAAATTGAAAATATAACAGTTGAGTATATAATTTTTTTTTGAGTATATAATGTTTTATAATATAGGCATACTAATGAGAAGAATGAAATAGTTTTTGGTTATTTAGTATTAAAAGGTAGGTTTTTCCTCTTCCGAAGCCTCCCTTTATCTTTGAAACAATGTTCTTCCTTCTTAGGCACTTACCAAAATATATTGTATTTATTTCCTGTTTTTTAAAGTCTTTTTTTTTAAAAAAAAAAAAGGTATATTGAGGTGTAATTTATGTGTCATAAAATTCATTGACTTCTGGCCTATGGCCATCAATTCTTAAAAATTTGCCAAGTTTTGGGATCATAATCAAATGTTAGAACATTTTCATTACTTTCTGCAGAAGCGCTTGTTGCCTGTTTCCTATTGATCACTTGTCCCAGTCCTCAGTAATCACAAATCTACTTCCTGTGTCATAGGCTCGCCTTTTCACAATGTAGCCCAGGCTAGCCTCGAATTCACTATGATCCTCCTGCCTCAGCCTCCCAAGTGCTGGGATTGTAGATGTATGCCACCATGCCTGGCCTCCTCATCTTTAAAAGGAATAATACTTTTTATTTCAGTTATTGTAAAGATTAAATGAGAAAATGTCAAAATTTAGAACATTGAATGGCATATTATAAACATTTAATGTAATGTTATTCTCTTGAAGAATAACCATTAAAGGAATAACTATTTAAAAATACAATGTTGTCCTTAGTGTGCAAGTAAATGTAGCTAATGTTTCTTTTTTTTTTTTTGGTTTTGGTTTTTCTCCGGTACCGGGAACCGAACTCATGACGTTGCGTTTGCCAGGCAGCTGAGCTAAATTCCCAGCCTCTAGTGTGCAAGTAAATGTTAGAGTGGACTTGACCAGTGAACTCTGGTTTGTCAGGCCTTGATCTAGAGTTGAATAATGTTTTGTCTTTCTGCAGTTAAAAAACATTTTGTTGTTGTTTGTTTCTTTGAGACAAGGTCTTGCTAGGTAGTTCAGGCTGGCCTTGAACTCACTGTGTAGCCCTGGCTGGCCTTGAACTCACAGCGATCCTCCTGCCTCAGTCTCCCAAAGTGGGGATGACAGGTGCGCACCACTACACCTGGCAAAAACATTGTTTTATGTTCATTTTTTAAGATTTTCAGGGGTGTGTGTGTATGTGTTGTTGTTGTTGTTGTTTTGCTTATAAGGTGAAGGGCTGAAAAGGGAGGGAGGGAGCAGATAGGAATGACAGAGGGATCCTGCATTCCTCTGCCCCTAGATCACCGATGTGTGTTAGATGACCTGCATGTCTCCAGTCCTCTTTGGTATAATTCTTCTATTTTCTTGCTCTTCTTCCTGGAGCTTTAGATTCACACAGGAAGGAGTACAGACATTTGATCTGCTTTGCCAACATCTAGAGGATGTTTGATGTCTGTACCTGTCCTTCCTTTACCTATGATAATACCAATAACTGTTTCTTCCCTCATGTCACCCAGCTCCTAAAAGGCATCCTGGAGGGCGCTACCCACATCCTCCCTGCACTCCGGGTCTTGAGCAGTCTTCTGTCCAGCTGCAGCGACTCTGTTCCCTTGTATTCTTTCTGCCAGGAGGCAGGGCTGCCTGGGCTGCTGCTCAGCCTACTCAGGCACAGCCAGGAGAGCAACACTTTCCAGCAGGTAGGTGCCGGGGCCAGAGCCTCGCATGGTCCTTTTCCTTGACACTCTGTCCCTCAAACTAATGTCTCTGTTTGGCTCAACCGCTTTTTATTTTCTTTCCTTTAATCTTTCTGGGGTGAAATGGGTGGTGTCAGTGAAGTAGAGTATGCATCAATGTATGAGCGGTGGGGAATATGATAAACTAGAGTCACCTACCCAACCTTGTCGGCTGCAGCCCATTTGTGCTGGACCTTCCAGTTTTCTGAAAGAGGTAGAAATCCATGTTTTTGTGCATAAGTTCCCGACATTTAGAATATTTTGCTCTGGAGTGTTGGCCCACAGGTCTTATTGACTTGCCAGGGAAGGATACTAAAGTTCAGAGATTAACTCCCACCCAGTTGTTATATAAATGGTCACAAGGACAGTGAAAAGCTAGGGTTGAAACTCCATGTATTTGGGACTGACTGTGTACATCATCATGCTGTATCCATCCAAAGCTGAGCTGAGAGGAAAGGGAGACCCTCCCAGGATCAGAGTTTATGGGACCTAGGCTGAGGCAGCTGGAATGCTGCACTCTTCTGATGAGTATTAACCTTGGGTGATTTTAAGGAGTTTTTAAAGGATTTATTTATTTATTTATTTATTTATTTATTTATTTATGGTATTTTGAGACAAGGTCTTGCTATGTACTTCAGGCTGGCCTTGAACTCACTGTGTAGCCCAGGCTGGCCTTGGACTTGAGGCAGTCCTCCTGTCTCAGCCTCCCGAGTGCTAGTATTATAGGCATGTGCCACCACGACCAGTGTTAAAGGAATTTTTAAAAATAGTTTTTTGAAAAATAGAATCTTCTACATTTCACCATCTTGTTCTGGCCAAATAAGACATGTTTACTGACTGTTTATAGCCCATTGGCTGACACTTTGTCACCTCTTGACTCTCTGCCCAGACTTCTCTCCCTCCTGCCCCTTTCTGTTTACTCAACTTTACTAGACCTCTATATACCTTTTTTGAACTACTATTTCGTTCTGTATCTCCATCATCCACATTGCTCTCTCTTTTTCCTCTTTCCTGGCAGCAACCTTGGTGTGGGACCTTTCTGAGGGACCTGGTGGCTGTAATTCAGGCCTACTTTGCCTGCACCTTCAATCTGGAGAAGAACCAGACAGGTGACAGGTGGGATCAGAGAACCTTTTGCTCTGTCAGCCAGTTTGGCTTCAGTTCCTACCCCATTTCTTTCCTTTCTCCTTAAGACGAAACCAAGTTAGGAGAAGTCATGATTTGGGACAGGATTAGAGATTAGCTGAATAACTCAGAATTCAGCTGGTTCTCTTAAGAACCTTGAGACATCTCTAGATTTATCCAAGCACTTTCAGGTTCTAAGAGTCAGTAGTCACCATGGCCCTAACTCAAAGGGTCAAGATGTGAATAATCTAGAGAAAATAGCAGAGAAGGGTGTTTGGAAGGGGTGTGAGACCTTGCCCGTGTGTATGTGTGTGTGTGTGTGTTTAGTAGGGAGGAAAGAAGGGAGCATTTTGAGGTGTTCCTTGGCAGAGATTTTCCTACTTTCCCAGAATTGACCCATTCATCACATCTGAGAATTTAGTAGATGAATGAGAATAAACTATGGGCTCATTTTTTTCCCAGCCTACACGTATTTCAGGAGGCTGCCAACCTCTTTCTGGACCTGTTGGGGAAACTGCTGGCTCAACCAGATGACTCTGAGCATACACTGCAGAGGGACAGCCTTATGGTAGCCTACTCCCACCTCCTGATATCTGTCTCTCCTATATTCTCTGTGTTCTCCCATCCCTTTCTTATGACTGTAAAGGGTCAGATCCAGTTCATACAGCAAACATTTTTGAATTCCCACCGTGTGCCATATGTCGTGTAAGTAAGAGAAAGTCCCTATTTTCAGGGGACAAGGGGTGGTCAAGTAGAGGAAGGTAGAAAGTACATGAGGGCTTGGTGTGGTGGTGCATGCCCACAATCCTAGCACTCTGGAGGCTGAGACAGGAGGATTGCCACGAGCTTGAGGCCAACCTGGGCTAGGTAGTGAGTTTAAAGCCACCCTGAACTACATAGTGAGACCCTCTCTCAAGAAAAATAGAAAGAAAAAACATGAGCACTGAAAAAGATGCCATTAACTTCTATTTGGAGGTCATGGAAGAAATCTTTAAGAAGGATATCATCTCTGCTAGGATTTGAAGAACACGTAACAGTTTGCCAGCTGGACAAGGCAGGAAAGTAGGGAGGACATTCCAGTCAAAGCATTCCAGAAAGAGCAGAAAGACATTCCAGAAAGAGCAGCATATCTGCAGGCCCACAGGCATGAAGCAGTCAGCATATTGCAGAGGACCATAAGTAGAAGTATTTTTTCTTTCCTCTGCAGATCATGTAGCATTTCTCAACCTTGTTTGTCCCAAGACTAGTGAACTGTGTGGATTCACTTCCCAGGCCCTGGAAATGAGGACAGGAGAATGGAGGATCGAATGAGAAAACAGCTGAGTTCTCACGGTTCTCAGAAGAGACAGAGAGAAACATGTGCAAGGAAGTAAACAATTGCTTGGTCATTGTTCACACAGTAATTGCAAGCACAGACTGGGCATAATATTTCTGCCTCAGACTTTTTTATTCTGAGATCCTAATTTCATATTCTTTACTCTTTCAAGTCAGGAAGCTTTGAATGTCTAACCTAAATCTCAGCAGTGCTCATGTTGTTGGCCTGCACTTCTCACATCATTCTATAGTGAGTAGTAGCCTAGGGAGTTTGGAATAATTACCTTTCTTCCTGAAATTCTAAATCAGGAGGATTGGGTTGAGGGGATCCCGGGAATCTCTAGGAATTCTTATATTCATGGTCCATAGATTACCTTTTGAGAAACATCATCTATGGAGGAGCTGATTGAGAAGACAGCAGGAATGGCTGGGTGTGTAGCTCAGGAGAGCATGGGCATAGCATGTGCAAGGCCCTAGGTTTGATCATGCAGGGGGGTGGGGGAAGGGAGGAAGGGAGAGCAGAGAAGGAAAAAGGAGGAAGAGGAAGAGATGGATGAGGGAAGAGGAAGAAGAAAGAAAAGAAAAAAAAGATTGATACTGAAATTCTTGTCCTGCAAACATGAAGGCACTATAGTTATAATGCATTTTTTTTTTGAGTGCAAGGAATGTTTAGAATTAGCTGTCTAATTTTTTTCTCTTCCTCCTTCTTCTCTTCCTCCTTCTTTGTACTGGGGGTTGACCTTGGGCCCTCATACATGCTAGGGAAGCACTCTACCACTGAACTATATCCCTAGTCGTTTTTATTTTGAGGCAGGATCTTACTAGGTTGTCCAAGCTGGCCTCTGACCTGATCCTCCTGCCTCAGCCTCCCAAGTACCTGGGATCACAAATGTGTACCGCTGTGCCCAAAATGCTCTATTCCGAGCTTCTCAGGCTATCCTTCATTCTTAACACTAAGCTCAAGTTGGTTTTCTGATGCCCTGATGCTGCCTCGGCCCTTGTTTCCTTTAGTGTTTTACTGTCCTTTGTGAAGCCATGGATGGAAACAGCCAGGCTATCTCCAAAGCCTTTTACTCCAGCCTGTTGACCACACAGCATGCAGTGTTGGATGGGCTCCTTCGTGGCCTGACAGCTTCGCGGTTCCCCTTCCACCCACCTGCAGGTGACTAGAGTGGAGGTTCTTTTGACTTCTTTTTGTGTGGGTCTTGCTCTGTTCTTCCTGCTGCCATCACATAAAATAGTGCCTGGCCTGTAGTGAGTGCTGAATAAATCACTGAACTGAAGGAGAGACTGGAGACCTGAAACCAGCAGACACTTGCATTCTCTGCCTTTCTCCATAGGGGCCCCACACATGAACGAGCCACTGTGGGAACAGAGTGAGGAGCTGCCTGGAGCTATTTCCTGCGCCCTGGCAGCCATGTGCACTGCTCCTGTGGGACTACCCAGCTGCTGGGATGCCAAGGAGCAGGTCTGAGCTGCAATCTCTCACTCTTCTTTTCCTGCTCCCCGGGGGAGCTGGAGAGGCTGGCTCCAGTTCCTCAGGGACAGAAAAACAAACATTTATGCCTCTTCTTGCACAGTACTTCCAGAAACAGATGCTGTCACTTTGGGCCTGGGCCACTTATACAATGTGATGCTGCCAGAATCCCAGAATCTCTGGCCAGCTGGTGAGGGAGAGGGCTCAATGATAAACCACCCAGGTGGTGGGAGAGCTGATTGGAAGGACTCAGTAACATTGCCCCCAGGACCTGAATACACTGGGGCCAAACGAGGTCATGACTTTCGCTTCTTCATTGGCCATGAATACTGGAAATAGAATGGGGTATGAAGTTCCTGGTGATTGGAGAAGAGAGACCAGCACGGGATTGAAAGTCCTGATCACCAGGAGATGTGTGAAGAATAGGTTTGGAATAAGAAGGATCAGGTCAAATCTCTTGAGTTTGTCTCCATAGGTCTCTTGGCATTTGGCAAATCAGCTGACTGAAGACAGCAGCCAGCTCAGGTCATCCCTCATCTTGGGCCTGCGACATCCTGTCCTATGTCTACACCTTCTTAAGGTACTTCCCACAACTCCCAGAACCTTGGCTTTTTTTCTTTTTTTTAAACTCCCAGGACAGAGAGGTAGACAGTCAGACACAAGAATTTAAGAATCCCTTGGAGAGCCATGTGTGGTGGCACATACCCATAATTTCAGTGTTTGGGAGGCTGAGGCAAGAGGATCGCTGTGAGTTTGAAACCAGCCTGGACTACATAGCAAGATCCTGTCTTTAAAAGAGAGAGAGAGAGAGAGAGAATCCCTTGGAGAACTCCATTCTGCTTTTAAATCTGATCAACTCAGGTGACTGCACGTGAGCCAGTCTTCACCAGAAATGAGAAACGTCCCTATCTCCCTATCTCAAACAAGGGGCAGGAGTCCCTCACACCCCCCAAGGGTGGACACCAACTCCACTGAGTGACTCACCTGCCTTTCAGCTGAGCCTTTCCAATCCTGAGCCTGGGACTGCTCTGCTCCCTGACAGACTCCTTCCTGCTCCCCTAGGTTCTCTACTCTTGCTGCCGTGTCAGTGAGCACCTGTGCTGTCTTCTAGGGCAAGAGCCCCTGGCCTTGGAGTCACTGTTGATACTGGTCCAGGGCAAGGTAGGCCAGCAACACAAGTGGGCACCTCATGGAAGCCCTACCATCTTAGCCAGAGGGTGTTCTGATAGCTCAGTTCCTTTGTAGGTGAAAGTAGTGGATTGGGAAGAGTCCACTGAAGTGGCACTCTACCTCCTCTCCCTTCTTGTCTTTCGGCTCCAAGATCTGCCTTCCAGGTGAGTCATAAAGTCAGGTCTCCCCACTATAGTTTCTCCCACATAGCCACCCTGGACACCCTATGGGGAGTAGCAGCTCTGCTTAGGAGGAACTGGGAGTAGAAAGTGAGGGTTTCTATATAAAGAACGGACCTGGATTCCCATCAACTTGGGGCCTTGGAGATGGACATGCAGCCTAGGTGAAGAACAAAGCCCAAGGGAGAGGGAAGGCCATTTACCAGCCTCCTCTAATGCGCTGCATCCCTCCATGTATCTCCCTATTCCAGAATGGAGAAGTTAGGCGGGGAGGTTGCTACGCTCTTTACCCACTCACACATCGTCTCTCTTGTGGTGAGTTTTCAGTCATCCCTTGCCTCCCTTTTACCCCCTATCATTCATCCTTTCTGGGACTGGGGCAGTCTTTCTCCCTTTTGAAGCTGTTTATGGGGGCATTTTTCTTTGCCAGGTCAGAGACATAAACCCTCTCTGCCTGTCCTGTGCATTATTCAGATTCTGATGGTCCTTCTCCACTACCTCCCCTGCAGAGTGCAGCAGCCTGTCTGCTGGGACAGCTTGGGCAGCAAGGGGTGACCTATGACCTCCAGCACAGTGAGTGGATTGCTGCAGCCACACATGCCCTGTCTGCCCCTGCAGAGGTGAGGCCTACCAGGGAAGGCACAGACACATTTTCTCCAAGTCAAACACTAGAACTGCATCCCAGGGGACAGACTGAACTGCTAGCAAGCCTGAGGGAGAATAAGGAATGGAAACAGCATCAAGAACAGCTTCCTCTCTTATCCTTTTAACCATAGATATTAGGCCCCGCTGAGCCCAGATTGATCAGAACTTCAGATTTCTTATGTAGGGCTTTGAAAGTGGGAAGTAGACAAGGGGAAAGGAGGACAGGAGACTCATCAAAGTTTTCTGAGGTGTTAGCTTTCCCTGCCTGCTTCAGTCCACTCTGGGAGCTCATGTTTTGTGGTTAAAGTCTTTCTAATACTGGTCTCCTCTCCTACTGCAAAGTCCACTCTACTTTTCCCATGTTTTCTTCTTAACAGTGATGGAGAAGGTGTGACACACTGTACCTTCTGCAGGAATTCAGTCCATTTTGTTGCCTTCTTTCTGCTTTCTCCCTTGCCACATCCTTCCCTTTTCCTTTTTAGTCCCTTTGGAACTCATATGTGTTTCATTCTGTAAAAAGAACAGACTTGACATCCACATTATTGTCACATATATGTGGATTCTTTATAATTTATAAAGCACTCTCATAGATGTTATTCCACATCATATATGGAAGATAGACACAGCATGTAATAAGACTCATCTCCTTTTCTTCAATGAAGTAGACCTTCCGAGCGATCGTGTCGTAGGTGATAGCACTAACGTTTACCCAGGAACCCATGTCCAGATCCTGGGAGTAACTAGACATCTCTCTTTCTTCCCCGTTATTCTGCCTCCAAATGGTCCCCCCAGGTCCCATTTATTCTACCTTCCAGTTACTTCTCTCGCCTCTTCCCTCCGTGGGACCGTTACTGACCTGCCTTAGTTTATGTACACAATTTCCTCATCTGATCTTTAGTGCTTGTCTGTGTAAGGATCTCCCCTTTTAGCCCTCACCTCTCCAGTCTCTTCTTAGTGCCACCACAGTGAACTTTCTTAAAGGGAAATATGGTTATTTGCTCAACCAATGTTAATTGAACACATAAATATGTATCAAGTGCCCAACACTATTCCAGACTGTGAGACTATATCAGTGAGTAAAAGAAATAAACAAACAAAAAAATTGCTCATGCAGAGCTTATATCATGATCAGTGACTTCCCACTGTTTCCAGGAGAAAATCTCTGTGGCTACCCACTGCTTCTGGGAGAAAGCCCAGACTTTGTTGCCTGCTACTCAAAGCTCATCTGTTGCCTGTGGGCTCTGTAATCCTGCTATACTAAGAGTAGCCACTTCCAAATTGACTGTGGTCTTTCATGCCTACTGCGCCTTTGTATAGGTTATGACTTCTTGGAATGGTTTCTCTTCTGACCATCACATTTTCTAGTCTTTAAAATTTTTAATACATCAGTTTTCTACCTCCAGTATTAGGCACTCTCAACTGTGCTCCCAACCTCTTATCTAGCAAGTGCCTTCCTAATTATGATTTCTTCTGTGTCTGCTTATGCTACCAGACTATGTCTTTAGGACACACATTGAATAAATAGGCACAAACTGAGACTTCTAAGGCCAGAACAACTCTTCCTACTGTGTTGGGCCAGGGAAATGCTCTTCTACCTGTCTAAGAGTTGAGTGCATGGCTGTCATCCTTCTCAGGGCTCTGCCTTCTTTCTGCCTCTCTCCAACAGGTCCGGCTGACTCCACCAGGTAGCTGTGGGTTCTATGATGGCCTCCTCATCCTTCTGCTGCAGCTCCTCACCCAGGTACAAGTGTATCTTGACATGGATGAGAAGAAAAGAAAGTAGGCCTCTTTTGGAGTTGCTGGACATTAGGAAGGAAGAGACAACCCACACTTGCTGTTCCTCTCTTTACTGCTGTGCCTATAGTAGCCTTATTGCTGTTGCCCTTCAGTAGGAGCCCTTGGAAGGAAACCATTAAAGCTGCACTTCTGGGGATCTAATGGAGAAACAAAGAAATTCCTCATTTGGAATTTTTTTCTTTTGAAAAATATTTTTAGGGCCAGGGATGTAGCCCAGTGGGTAAGTGCAGGGCCTGGCAAGTGCAAGATCCTGAGTTTGATTCTGGGTACCAAAAAAACCACATTGTTTTAAAGTTTTCTTTTATTGGCCTGTGTACAATTCAGCCTTGGCATGATCTGAGTCCAACAGGCCAGTTCTCTGGTTTTCAGCAGGTACTCACATGGCTTGAGAGGTTCAGGGAATTAAGATATGATAAGGAAAGAAGACCACATGGATATAGTAGGTGGGAAGACAGTAGTTATTTCTGTGACAGGTCAGGGACAGGAATGAAAAAAACACATTTGCCACGTGTAGTGGCGCATACCTGCGATCCCAGTGCATGGGAGGTTGAGGCAGGAGGATCACTGTGAGTTCAAGGCCAGCCTGGGCTATATAATGAATTAAACTACAGGACATAATGTCTGAACTACAGGGCAAGACTCTGTCTGGAAAAAAAAAAGAAAGGAAAAAACAGACACTTAGGCATTTGGACTCCTGACTTCTGCCTCCCCACCTACCCGTTCACCTTTGTTTCCAGAAAGGGAAGGCTAGCCTGATCAGGGATGTGGCTAGCTCAGAAATGTGGACCATCTTGTGGCACCGCTTCTCCATGACCTTGAAGCTACCTGACAAGGTGTCTACACAGGAAGAGAACCTGTCACTGTCTAGTCCACCCAGCTCGGAGCCAGAGTGGACACTGATCTCACCCCAGGGTATCTTTCTACTAGCATAGTGTCCTTTTTGGGGCCAGTATATGGATCCTTCCTCAAAAGGAGGCAGCCTCAAATTGGGTTAACCCACTGAGACACATCTGTTGGTGCTGTCTGGGAGAGGATGGCAGAGTCTACAAAGGAGCTCAAGGATCGGGGAGGGACTGGATAGGTGGTAGCTATGGGAACCACAGAGAAGCAGGGGCATCTGGACTTCTTGCTTGCTTTACTAGGTCTTTCTTCCTGATGTTTTTAGGCATGGCAGCCCTGCTGAGTGTGGCCATGGCCACCTTCACCCAAGAGCCCCAGTTATGCCTGAGCCACCTGTCCCAGCGTGGAAGTATCCTCATGTCTACCTTGAAGTACCTGCTTTCCCCCAGCTTCCTGTATCACCTGAGCCAGGCGTGAGTCTGAGCCAAAGGAAGAAGAGTCCTCATTGGTGGGGGCAGGGTGGTGGAAAGACGTAACTGACAGCTTGAGTTATGAAACCGGGGAATGAGATAAAGATTAGGCTGGAAGCCTAAGGAGTTGCTGAGAGTGGGGAAGAGTTCTGGGGAAGGAAATCTGAAAGGAAGGGAAATGTCAGAAAGGGTAGGTGAATAAGACCAAGTCTGTTCTTCTCCATCCTTTCCCTTAGGCCTCATGGGCCTGAGTTTCTCCCTGTCATGGTACTTTCCGTCTGCCAGCTCTTCTGCTTCCCCTTCTCACTGGATGTGGATGCCGACCACCTTGTAGGAATCCTGGCTCACCTCAGGGATGCAGAAGTTGCAGCCCTCCTGCTGCAGGTACTTGAGAAAATACATGGGCCTGGAGGTGGGAGGGGCAGATGGCCAAGTCTTTTGTCCTCTGATTCAGTCCTCAGCAGTTCCAGGGCTCTCTTAGGTCTGTATGGAACATCTGGCTTGGTCTAAGAGTTGGAGACAGCATGCAGACCTGAACAGAACATGTGTTTGGAGCTGGGCTGTTGTCTCCCTTTTTCCATCAATCTCCTACCTGGTTCTGTTGGAGTTCAGTGGGGAGAACATCCCAGTCCTAACACTAGAAGCTCAGCTCAGTCACTTCCTTAGTAATTCTGGGTATTAATCTAGGGGTCTTTGGAGGCAGCAGTGAACCCTTGCAGACTAAGGAATGAACTTGGGAAGCTGCTCTCCTGGATTTCACATATGTTTTACATAGTGTGCTTTGGTGTAGGGCTTCCAGCTCTCTTTAGCGTGGCTTTTGTCTCTCCAGATTTTGGGCTTCTCCTTCGTAGAAGTGGTGAGCTGTCCTCCTAAACTCCTTTTATCTGCATCCCCCTACTCCATTCTCCCAGGTCTGCTGCCATCATCTTCCACTGTCACAAGTTGAGCTGCCCATCAGCCTCCTCACACGCCTGGCTCTTATGGATATCACCTCTGTCAACCAGTTTGTGAGCACAGTGGCTGCCTCCTCTAAGGCCATCATATTCCTCTCGGCTGCCCTCCTGAGTGACCAGCCACTGCTCACCTCTGACCTCCTCTCCCTACTGGCCCACACAGCCCGGGTACTGTCTCCCAGCCACTTATTCTTCATCCAAGAACTCCTGGCTGGCTCTGATGAATCCTATCAACCCCTGCGCATCCTCCTAGGGCACCCAGAGAACTCTGTACGGGCCCGTACTTATGGGCTCCTGGGACACTTGCTCCAACACAGCATGGCCCTGCGTGGGGCACTGCAGAGCCAGACTGGACTGCTGAAACTTCTGCTGCTGGGTCTTGGAGATAAGGACCCTGCTGTGCGGCGCAGTGCCAGCTTTGCTGTGGGCAATGCAGCTTACCAAGCTGGTCCCCTGGGTCCTGCCCTGGCAGCGGCAGTGCCCAATATGACCCAGCTACTTGGAGATGCTCAGGCTGGTATTCGGCGAAACGCTGCATCAGCTCTGGGCAACTTGGGGCCTGAGGGGTTGGGGGAGGAGCTACTCCAGTGCCAGGTACCCCAGCGGCTCCTAGAGATGGCATGTGGAGACCCTCAGCCAAATGTGAAGGAAGCTGCCCTGATTGCCCTCCGGAGCCTCCAACAGGAGCCCTGCATCCATCAGGTATGGCCCAAGGGACATGTGAACTATGATTGGACCCTGTACTTTACCACATTTCTGTGAGATAGTCTGTAAAGAATTAGGACATCTAGAAATCCAAGCATTCTTTCTCTCTGGGTGTAGGGAACTCAGGCATAAGGAGTTTTCCATTTATTATCTCCTACCCTAGAGAAGGGAAAGGAGCTAGAGGAGGCTGCATTGAGCTAGGACATGCTTGAGATCTCAAAGAGCACAGCTCTGTCTTCCAGAGAGTGGGCAGGAGGGAGATGAGGAAGACTAGATGTTGAGACCATGCAGGTGCCAACTATGTTTCTAGTATCATGCTAAGCATTCTACCTTTATTATCTAGTTTGAGCTGTTATTACCCTCATTTTGCAGGTGAGGGAACTGAAGCGCAAAAATATTTAGTAACTTGTTCAAGTTACAAATATAGCAAATCCCAGGAATCTAGGTCCAGAGCCCTAACTCTTAACCTCTGCTTTATTCTGCCTTTTCTGTTCAGTTTTCAGTGCATGAGGGGCCCAGTGGAAATCACATACTTGCCCATGATTATCACATTATAATGGTTCAATGTGGTAACATTGGGTAGTTTCTGCAGTGTAGAAATTTGCCAGGATGGTAGTGATATAGTGGGAGTTTCTAGCAATCCATGTGGAAGAATAATACAAAGGATTTTTGGTTGAGGGTGAAAAATCAGGTTGGGACCCACTAGGCCCAAGGCTAGAAATTCAAACTTTTTGGCTGTGAGTCATTGCTGCATTCATTACCTCTTCCTGGGGACAAGTGAATGGATCCCTTGATGTGTTAGTTTTATGGTCTATAACCATAGATACTGGAAGTAAACTTCTGGTTCTCATGATTCCTGCCTCCAAGGTGGCTCTTCCCCCATTCAGTCTACTTTATTTTTCTGAGACAGGATCTCGCTATGTAGTTCAGGCTGGCCTTACACTATGTAGCCCAGGCTGGCCTTGGACCTGTGGTGATCCTTCTGCCTCAGCCTATCCTGAATGCTGGGATTATAGGCATGCACTGCCATACCCAGATTCTTTACAGTCCATTCTGAGTCCTCCAAACCCATCTCTTTTTCTTCCTTTTCTAAACTGGGCATTGGTGGTCTAGAATACCCTTTGCACTACCATTTTTGAGCCTCATTGCCTGTTTATTATCTTCTCTCTTCCAAAGGTGCTTGTGTCCCTGGGTGCCAGTGAGAAATTGGCCTTGCTTGCTCTGGGGAATCAATTACTGCCGCAAAACAGTTCCAGGCCTGCCTCTGCCAGACTTTGCAGGAAACTCATCCGCCTGCTAAAGCCAGCTCAGAGCACATGATCCAAGGTTCCTGAGGTCCAGCCTCCAGGCTTCATTGCCCTGCTGCCAACTCTTCCTTATGTGCTTCCACAAGCCACCAACTCACCTGAGGGCAAGAGAGACTGAAAAAGAGTGACAAGCTGCCACCTGTCCTAGGAATGAGAAACTAGAGGGATTATATATAAAACTCCTTCGTTTTCCAAGATTCAGGATCATTTCAATCAGTAAATTCTATTACTGTCGGTGCCAGAGAAGATTCCTTTCTTCTCTATGTACAGGGGTCTTTTTTCTAATAACGTGCCTTTAACCCCAAGAACATGCCCCCTGGACCTTAGGAAAACATTGCCACTTCACAGGTCCTGATCTCTCCCTTTCTGGAGCTGCTATAATCCTCTGGCAATTTTTGCTTTAGGTGCATTGGTCTCTGTCTCAGCTGAAGGCCCTGAGGGTTAATGTCATCAGCCCCTGTTGTTGAGGGGTTCCCTTAGCCCACACTCCTTTCAGGGATGGGAATATACTTTTTTTTTGTAATTCTATATGTAAACTTTTTTAATAAAAAAAAAGAAATTGTTCCTCTCCCTACTTGGAGCTCCCAGGGTAAGGGGTTGGGAGGTTCAGCCCCTCTTTTAGCTTCTATAGGGGCCTGGAAGCCCTGGGGTCCTATTCACGCAGGATCCTGTTTTGGGGCCTCGCTTGTATCCTGCCTTCCAACTTCCTCCAGCCTCCTTCTTCCAGCCAGATGTGGTCACCTACTTCCAAGCCACAGCCAGTGGAACTGAAATAGAAAAGTGTACGGTTGAACAGAAGTAAATTGGGTTTCTTTGAGGTCTCAGACTATTTTTAATATTTAGTGGAGTTTCAGTGTACTGTATAGGGCATCTTGGATGCTTTAGAAGGGCAGCTATTTATGGAGATTGTGTAGCTTACTTAAAAGGGGTATTTAGCAGACAGGTTAGCATCATAATCTAACTGGGCACATATTAGGAAGCTTAAACTTTGACTCATTGGATGGCTTAGAATAAGCTTCCAGGACCCTGATTTCTCTATCTATATCTTCCTTAGACTCTGATTTTTTTTTTTTTAATGAGGCCAAGCATAGTGGTGCATGCCTGTAATCCTTAGGAGGCTGAGGCAGGAGGATCCCTGCAAGTTCGAAGCCAGCCTGAACTGCATACTGAGACACTGCCTTAAAAAAAAAAAAAGAAAAAAAAAAAAGAAACAAGAGGAAGATAAGTAAGGTACCCTTAGTTTTATAAGCAATTTTATGTAGCCCTTTGTCTTTGTTACTTGTTGCTGAGACAAAATACTGGACACTCAGAGTTAAAGGAGAAAGGGTGTATTTCAGTTCATAGTTTGTAGAAGTTTCATTCCATAGTCGGCTGGTTGCAAGGCAGGGCAGCATAGCAGAAGGGCATCACAAGGAGAAATAGTCCATGGCATGGCCGGCAGAAGCCAGCAAGCAGCAACCAGTAGCCTGCCTTTTCCTTTTATCCAGGCTACCAGCCTTTTGGATGGTGTCACCCAGAACTATGCTAATTCCAGTCAGTGGACTAATTCAGTATCACACACCCTTAATCCCAGTATTACACACCCTATGTCTACCAGCTTCAGAAAGCCCCACCTATGAGCACATGAGACTTTTGGGGGGACATCTAGATATAAGCATTAATACCTTTGTTTTCATTACTTACTGTGTTTACACTTTAACAAAAATGACATTTATTGAGTCTTTTCTCAGTGCCAGATTCTGTTAGAGCTACTGGACATAGATACTACCTGTCTAGCCTTGAGTTTACATTTGGGTGGGGGAAGATAAGGAATTTACTAAAATAAATGAATTAAAGGTGGACATGGTGGTGCATGCCTATAGTCTCAGTACTTCAGAGGCAGAAGGATCACTGTAGCCCAGAGTTTGAGACCAGCCTGGTCAACATTGTGAGATTCTGTGTTAAAAGCTCAATTAGATGTCCTGTATAGAACAGTAATAAAAGCTTTGGAGGAAGATAAAGGAGGGACAAGGAGGAGTTGAGTGCTGAGGTGGGTGGTCAGGGTGAACCTTAGTAGAAGGTGAATCTGAGCAAACACTTGAAGGTAAGAAGCAAGCAATGTAGCTGTCTGACAGAAATACCTATGTGGAGAGGATGATCGCATCAAAGGCCTAGATGGAAGCCTGCCTGCCATACTTGGGGAGTAATGAGGGAGCCAGTCTGACTGGAGCAAAGAGGGATAAGAGTAAGAAATAAAGACAGGAGGTGATGGTGGGGCCAGACTTACAGGCTTTGTTGACCTTGGTGAAGATGTGGTTTTCCTCAAAACGTAGTGGGATCCATTGGGGATTTTACATTCCAAAAGGGTTAGTCTTCAGTGTTTCAAATGGAGTATCAGGAAAGTGGGAAGCGAGGTGAGCAATGAAGAAGGGATTGTAATCCACATGAGAGGGAATGGTGTCTTAGACTGGGATGGCATCAACAGAGTAGTAAATAGTAGTAGCTGAATTTTGATTTTATTTTTTTCAGTACTGGGAATTGAACCCATACCCTTTGTGCTGAGCTACTACCCCATTGTTTTTTTTAAAAAAAAAAAGAAAAAAAATGATTTTGAGACAGTGTCTTGCTAAGTCTCTGCATTGCCCATGCTGGGCTTGAACTTGGGATCCCCCTGCCTCCACCTTCTAGAGCTCTAGGGTTACAGGCATGTGCCACCATGCCTGGCTATGGAATATATTTTGAACATGGAGTACATTGGATTTCTTGGCTGGTTAGATGAGCACATGTGACCAAAGGAAAGCAGATAAGGATGACTCCAAGGTTTTGGACCAACTGGAAAGATGAAATTGCCTTTAACTGACATGGAGAAGCAGAGTGGTAATGTAGGAAGACTGAAGTTCGGTTATGAACACATGGGTCTTTTAGTTAGAAATCTTCACCAAGCGTGGTGGCACATGCCTATAATCCCAGCACTCAGGAGGCTGAGGCAGGAGGATGGTTGTGAGTTCAAGGCCAGCCTGGGCTACAGAGTGAGCTTAAGGCCAACCTGAACTACATAGTGAGACCCTGTCTCAAAAAGAAAAAAAATTGGGGGCTGGGGATTTAGCTCAGTGGCATAGCGCCTGCCTGTCAAGCGCAAGGTCATGAGTTCAATTCCCGGTACCGGAAAAAAAAAAAAAAAAAAAAATCTTCAAACAAAAGTAGAGGGTTAGATCAATGAACTTCATAACCCCTTTTGAACAGATACTATATTCTTTGTTACTTGGGAATTTTTAGAAAATCCTGGGCAACATAATATTACCCTTAAATACTTAGGTCTTTGTCTGGCATATTAGAACTTTTGTTTTTGACAAAAATCACAGGACTGTACCATACTTGACAGAAATTAACAGTAATTGCTTAGTATTAAATATGTCATTGGATTTAAGTATTCTCTGGCTTATAATCTCTTGAAATGCAGATCTAAACAAGGTTCACTCATTGCATTTGGCTGACTTGCTCCTAAGACTTACTATAAAACAATTCTTTCAACATATTTTGGTACCATTTTATTGAAGAAACTGGATCATTTGACTAGTAGAATTTCTCATATTTGACTTGACTGTATATTGAGCTGTCACATTCTGTTGTAATAGCCTTCATATTTTCTTTAAATATGGAAATACATTGGTTGCTTAACCTTAAATATCGATCATTGAATCTAGACAGATAACATTAGAAGCATTTTTTATTTTGAATATTCCTAGTTTGTTGGGTTTTTTTTTGTAATGGGAATCAAACTCAGGACCTTGCACTTGCTAGGCAGGTGCTTGTGCCACTGAGCTATATCCCTGGCTCAATATTTCTAGTTTAAATCCAGTGCCTATTCCCTGATTAAAACCCAGGCAGTCAACCATACTTTTTTGACTTCACTAAGATCTCTAGACTTTGGCAAATACAGTAGTGTGATATCTGTAATTTTTCCCCTAAAAGGCAAATATGGAGGAATCATTTTATGAAACAATTATTCACTTTTTTCAAATAACTCATTACATACCAGCTTGAAATATCATGCTTATCTGGTATATAAAACATTTGATGTAGAGAAATTAAATTTAAGCGCAGAATTTTTAGGCTATTGCATAAAGCAATAATTGACCATTTTATGAGGAAGCATAATAAGAAAACTGTTCAACATATCTGGGATCATGCAATCCAAAGGATTAGGACTATTGTTGGCGACCACTACAAAGTGGCTCTGAGCAGGATTTAATATTAACCAATTGTCTTTCTGTGTTCACTTGTGAATCTGTCCAAGGCCTAGGCTCCTTATCTGTAAATGGCGGACTCATAGTAAGTGAACCTCTGTGAGTCAGTGATCCCTACTAGAACCTGTAGTGGCGGGTGAAGCCAGAAAGATTCAAAGGCCAAGACAAGATCACAGCCAAGGACACCTGGGTCAGATCTCAACTAGATGAAGAGTATAGCCTAAGGCATCTAATTCTTCAGTGGATTAACTTCATACCTTACTGAGAGAAGTCCTTGAGTGGTTCTGCCCTTCTTGAGTACTCCCCTCCCTTCTGATAACCAAATAAATATAGGTGGCCCAGAGAAGGTCGTGGTCATAGCCCAGAGAGACTCTTGAATTATGTGAGAGGGCTTTGATCCTCCTGGGGCCCTGAAATCATTCTATTTGTCTCTTTTTATTAAGCCTTCCCCATACACTCATTCAGGAGATTGTGGACCTGATCAGCCCGCGATAACTAAGGGATATTATTATTCCCATAGATGATATCAATTTTATATCTAGCATTTATTACATGACAGGCTGACAAAGTGCTAAGAGCGTTTGGAGTGAATGGTCTGAGTAGTGCCTGTTATGCAGAGAATGTCTGGAGCGTTTGAGGATTTGCACCTGTGTTTGGTTTTATGCGTGTGGATATGTATGTCCTTTAACTTTTTAGGGATAGGAGAAAGCTTAAAATGTCCACACATAGAGCTGGGGATATAGCTCAGTGGCATAAGCGCCTGCCTGGCAAGTGCAAGGTTGCGAGTTTGATCCCCAGTACCTCCAAAAAAAAAAGTCCACACATATAAAACTGTAGAGAGTGGCACAATACACTCCTAAACCCTGATCTCACTTGTCAACATTTTGCCACATTGGCTTGCCTTATGTATTCCTTTTTAAAAATTTGTCTTTGCTGAGCCAGGTATGGTGGCACATACCTGCAATTCCTGTACTGTGGGAGGCTGAACCAGGAAGATTGCAAGTTCAAGCCCAGCCTGGACAATATAGTGACTTAGTGAGACTCTGTCTCAAAAAAGTTAAAAAAAGGTCTGGGGATGTAGCTCAGTGTGAAGGTCCTGAGTTTAATCCCCAGTCTCACACTACACACACACACACACACACACACACACACACAAATACCGTTGTTGTGGTTTAAAAAAAATGCTATTTGAAATAATTTAAAATTTAAAGTTATAAGAATGTGGTGAACACATAATTGGTGAACACGTAAAACGGATGAAAAATTACTGGGTTATTGGGTGGAGAAAAAAAATGTCAAGTTGACCCAAGAAAGAGAAACTGTGCTTGATTGTTCACTGTGTTTGATTGTTCTTTTTAGTTTGAGAAAAAAATATATGCTTCTGAGAACGTTCTGAACTTTGCAACACCTGCTTGCTGAAACTGATAGGTTCCGCTTTCTGCCCTTGCAAAAATTTTTTTCACCTGCGCCAACCAAAATGTGGTTTTCAAGCTTAAAAGCTCAAACATTCTTCGGGTTGGGGCTGCTCAGCCTCTCCCTGCATGGAGAACAGACTGACAGCTGCCGGCCCGGCTAATAAAGGCTCTTAAAT